GTTGCTAAGACATCCTTCTCTCTTACATGACACATTGAAATGCTCTTCAACTCATTTTCAGATCTTTCACCTGATAAGCGTGAGTTCATTAACTCTCACGAACACACGAAACGACAAAAGGAAAACGCTCATTTCTCTCTTTTAAAAACAATATTCAAATATATACCAGAAAAGGAAAAAACAAGACGGAAATACAACATTCAAAACGTTTGGAACCTTCTAACGACTCTTTGATCTCCAATCAATCATGATAGATCATAACAGCGCACTAAGTACAAGAATCATAGTGACAACTTTGAGATGTGATGTTAAACTGGGAGGATGTACGGCGCGGGTAAAGAACACTTCGAAAAATTTTGAGAGTCTAATTGAAATCGTACTACACAGAATCCTTTCTGTAGTTTGTATTTCACATTATCTCCTTAAAAGCAACACAAGTTGACTGCGGTGAAAGGGATAAGAGCAGGCCACGAGCGTGAAGAACTCCTTATGGAGTTGATGACCGCGAACTGACCGGCAACGGATAGTTTTTGTGATCTGCTCATCTGAGCGGTTTTAAAACTCATTTAAATCATCATATCTAGTTAGTGGCCGCGGTTCTCGTTTTCATTTCTGTCTTAGAAAGTGTGAAGCGATTCATTTTCATTTCTGTAGCATGGCGCATTGTTTAGCGGTTGTTATCAATGGGTGTTTCAAGTTTGAGTTTAAGATTCTATTGTTTTTCAGTTCTGAAAGAATGCGTTGAAGAAGGATGTTTGAATGTTGAGGACCGCAAAATTTTCCAACTTCGATCAAATGATTGTTATCCTGATTTGAATGAGGAACTTATCAAACAGAGAACCGTAGAACCCAAAAGATTGGATAATGTAGACTTCAAGAGTGTTCTCTGTTTCATTTATACGAGTGGAACAACAGGATTACCAAAGGCTGCAGTCATGAAGCATTTCAGGTAACAGCCACTATTAATATTTATCTATATTAACATTTACTTCAGATTTTATTCTATGGCAGTTGGAGCTGCTAAGTCTTTCCGCATATACCCTTCTGATCGTATCTATGTGTCTATGCCAATTTATCACACGGCAGCTGGAATTTTAGGTACGTATTTCAGTTTATACGTTGTTACATTGATAACAATAGGAGTTGGACAAGCTATCGTCTGTGGTTCTTGTTGTGTTATTCGAAAGAAATTCTCAGCCAGTAACTTCTGGAAAGACTGTGTGAAATATGATTGCACAGTACGCGATCTTTTGCTTCATACTCTTCTGATGATTTCTTTTAGGCTTCGCAATATATTGGTGAAATATGTCGTTACCTGTTAGCTCAGCCTGTAGCTCCTGAAGAAGCTACTCACAAAATGCGTCTTTTGTATGGTAATGGCTTGAGAACAGAGATTTGGCAACCTTTTGTTGATCGGTTCCGTGTTCGCATTGGTGAAGTGTATGGATCAACGGAAGGAACATCTAATTTAGGTTTGCAAAGATTAATTTATATGACCTACAGTTTACTCAGTGAACATTGATGGGCATGTTGGAGCTTGTGGGTTCCTGCCAATTAGTCCACTTACAAAGAAAATGCATCCCGTACGATTGATCAAAGTGGACGACGTTACGGGTGAAATTCTTCGCTCGCCTTCTGGCTTATGCATATCTTGTAATCCTGGAGAAACTGGAGCTATGGTTTCTACAATTCGTAAGAACAACCCCCTTCTACAGTTCGAGGGATACTTAAACAAAACGGAAACTAACAAAAAGATAATTCGTGATGTGTTCAGTCATGGCGATAGCTGTTTTGTCTCCGGTAAACTGCTTAACGTTTTCGAAATGGAATTTGCGGTTTTCAGGAGATTTATTGCACTGGGATCGTCTTGGATATGTTTATTTCAAAGATCGCACCGGTGACACGTTCCGCTGGAAAGGAGAGAACGTTAGTACTATTGAAGTGGAAGCCATTTTACATCCTATTGATGGCGTTGCTGACGCAACTGTTTACGGAGTTCAAATAGCAGGTTTTTTATAATTACCAAGGCGTTCATATGTTACCGAACTGTTAAAGGACATGAAGGAAGAGCTGGTATGGCAGCTGTAGTTCGTTCCGCTAAAGATGATAGTGACGATAAGTTCTTAGAGGAGTTGGGAAAAACTTTGTCAGCTTCATTGGCGTCATATGCAGTTCCTCAATTCGTGCGCTTATGTCCTGATGTAGATAGAACTGGTAAGACTCATGCATTGCTTTCTTATTGCATAACCTCATTCAGGAACATTTAAATTAGTGAAAACTCACTTCCAACGGCAAGGAATCTTACTAAACGTGCCAAAGAACAAAGTGTATATATACGATGCGAAGGAGAAAATATATGTGCCTTTCACTGAGAACTTATACCGCAGCTTAATAACAGGAAAAATGTCTCTCTGAAAATGATCCAATGGATGATGATCATTACTTCCTTATATACCGGTGTAACTCTAGCTCATTGCTCTCTCATAACAGAAGAACCTTAAGCTAAATGCTCTAGACACTCATTGTTCTTCAGATGAAACGCTTTACTTTTTCTTCGTCGTCACTGGACTATCTAAATGGTCTCGTAGATTCTTTAAAAGTCAATTTTCATGTTCCATTCAGTCTTCCCCTATTTCGACTCTTGACTCTTTCACGTGATCAGCTAGTCTTCATATATGGTTATAGTTTGATTTTAGAAATATTTATTCATTCGATGTGCCTAAAATATACAAGTTGTGGTATCATGCGAAAAATGCTCAAATGAAGTTTCTTTCTCTTAAAGTTATGCTGGTTCTCCATCTCGGAGATTCGCTGGCAAAGCTTTTTCTGTAATTACACAGTAATAATAAAATGTTTGATTCCATTAACCTATTTGTTTCGGATATGCTAGTTTGAGGTTCTTCATCAATTCCACAAATTCATCTTCCTTCTTTGTCAATCGAGGATTCCATTTCTTCTCTTCCCACACCTGTAAACAGATAGATTATTCATAGATCATTGAACACCAAAGTCACCGTTGTTAATGTTTTTCCTTCGTAGTTATGACCTACGTATAAGTTAAAATCTTCGGGAAGCGTTAGAATATTCTTCCAGATAGATCGATAGAGAGTTGTAGAACAGCCTGTAATAATAGCTTATAAAACACTGTCGAGCCTAACTACCTTTCTGGAAGTCAGTACGCCCGCAACCGCGGATCAACAGTGCATCACCTGTGAAAGCGTTTTTGTTTGTAAAGTCCACATATGTAACACACCCTATGAATAGTCAGCTCTTAGAAAAAAAAAAACTTTTAGAAGATTACCGTCCGTATGACCAGGGGTTGCGCGCACTTCTAAAGTCTCGTTACCAAAATTAATGACATCATTATCATTCAAAAGTATATCAGCTTTGCCTCCTGACACAGCAGAAACACATGACTTTATTTTAGGAAAAAACTGGAAGAGTATATGGTTTATGAAGAAAACATTGATAAGAAAAGTAACCTCCCTCAAGGCGAAAGTGCCGGTTATATGGTCAGCGTGAACATGAGTATTAATAGCGTATAATGGTTGGAGACCCAACTCTTCGATCAACTGTAATGAGTTAGCTTCAAGCAAACTGTTTTAGGAACTAACTGTGGCATCCCGTTTCGCAGTTTCTCTTACAGGATCAATTATAACGGCTTCCTTAGTTGCTTCACAACCAAGAATGTACGAGTATGTCGAGGACTCTTTTTCGAAGAGCTTGAAAGAAACAAAATTAGATCGAATTAGACATGAACTTACCTGACGTAGTATTATGAAAGAAGGACGAGAAATCTTCATAGTCGAATGCTAGACTGAAAATAATGTCACTAAAGTAGAATCAGATGATAGGAATAAACAAGTTATAGAACTGACAAATTGTGGAAATGTCTATTGATATCATGATGGTCTATATAAATATATATTTGAATTCAGAAGTACTGACTAACACGAGGAAATTGATAAAGATTGAACTGTCTCTTTGAAATTCATCATGGCTAACAACAGCAACAATGATGTGTTTTCATAACATACGTGATAAGACATACCAAATCGATAGATGCCCATAATTGGGGCGCATGGTAAAGGACAGGCGAACTTGTTGAACGTAAACGAAAAAGGGTCAGTGTTTGCTGGAAAACTTGGATAAATTTGGTTACGTCCATCATAAGGAAGTTTGAAAACGCGTTGTAAACAACATCAAGTGTTCATATAATAAAAATTCTTACAGATAAATCAAACAAACGAGCATAAAAACACATAAAAAATAGAATGAGTACGTCTTGATTACTAATTTCACACTGAGCATACCTAGATATCCATTAAGTGGATATTACGTTTCTCACGGAAAGTTACAACTAGAAAGCCGTCATTGTTTTGTTTGTTGACGCACTTAGCGGTTGGTCCATTTCTGCTGGACTCGGGTTTTTACAACGAGGCGATCTCATGTTCTTATGATTTCATAATTATTCAGATCACATGATTGTTCTCCAAGCTACGTGAAGACTATTAAGTTTCCTTAGGAGTGGTTTCGAACATCTCACACATGGTTTTCTATTAGCTTTTTGTTGTCTTTGTCTCGTGAATACTTTGTCTGCAGTCACTTTAGAGCTGAAGCGTATATTCAGCCGGCTTTCATGCACTATGGATGTTTTATGTTTCAAATTCAAGTGCTGATGATTTCTAAGTCTATCATTCCTTAGATTTCTTTCGTAAAACCTTGTCTTTTTTTCTAGTCTACGCCGCGTATGAAAAGAATAACAAGAACAGTACTTATGAAGAGCCGGATCGACGTCCGATGAACATAGCTGCACCTCACTTCTGCTAGTGCCCACCTCATTATCCCAAATCAGCCTACTCTTTTTCATTCCTCCTTCGATAACGTCTTCATCATTCAAAACGTAGACATCCTGTCGGTCTCTTGAAGACAACCCCTTGCTTAGTACTCGGATGACCACTTGTAGCCTATTTCTTCCATAGACAATTCTTATTCTATACTATTCACTTATTCCTCGTTTATTCTTGATTTGACTGTATTTTGTTCTAATTTCCTGAACTTCTCATATTATGCTCAGATTATTTCTTTTATCTCTGTTATTAACTCAAGGTTCGTCGGAACTAAGTTGATGATACACGTCTTCGAAATGAATTTTAAGGGTCATGTCTTATCACACCTGTAGGAGATTGTCCTCCCAACCTTCGACCAACTATGGTCAGATTAACAGGAGCCATTGCTTCAAAACCTCAATTCGTTGCTAAAGTTTTATTTTGATTATTTGAGGTGATTGTAAGTGATATATCCAGATTGACCTGGCAACGTGTTCTCTTCATTGTCGCAGAAACACTCATCCTCTCACAGATGCACCGTTTGCATGTAGAGGATTTAATTTTTTAACTGGGAGAAATCCTACGTGTGAATTTTTCACATTGGATCAGTTGATTTCATCTGAAGATGTTGAGATAAAGGAAGGGTCCTATTTCTTTGAGAAAGCTTGCTTAAGGTTGATAGCTAATCTGAATATATTGTAACATTGTTGTTCTCATTAGAATACCGCCGAGATGTGAAGGGTCAGCGTTTGCCTTAGACGGCAGACGTGGTGTCAGACTGAAAACGAATCGTGAAACAAGATTAGCTTACTCGGAAGAAGAATGTATATATGCTTGTTTTTTTGAAGACTGTAAAGCTTTTGAGTGGAATAATCTCAGGCGGTGAGCTTATTTATTCTTCCTTAATATAAAGTGTTTTCAGTACCTGTGCTGTATATCACGAAACAAGAAGAGATGTGGATGTGGAACGTGTCCAAGCAGTAACATATTATGAGAATAACTGTATTGATCGTAAGATCGTTTACATAGAAGCATACAATACTCTTTTCATTTATCCAGCTTCTTCGCGATGTCCTTTAGGGCGAGTTGAGTTTTTATTAGTTCGGCGATCGGATGTTCAATCATTCGGTGTCTCTATCGGCATAAGAAGTATTAGGAATTGTATGAGAGAATGTGTGGAAACAACTCTTTTCCATTGTAGATCGTTCCAGGTTCCATTTAAACAAACTTCTTTTTAACATTTCAATTATAGTTTTCGCCATCAAGTAGCGAATGTTTCGTGTCTGATGAATCTTCTGAAGTTGCTGTACCATCAGCTAATCTGGACCTTTATGAGCCTTTCTGCGTCCCTCATGATATAGATTCAAACAGCTGTAATAGGCCTTATTCATTTGAAAAGCTGATAACTTCCAAGATGACGCAAGCAACAGAAGTGGAGCGATTCCACAGTTTGAGTCAAAACGTAGAGACGGTTTAGAAAATATCTGTTCTAGAACTTGGAATTGAACAATGCCTTAATAAGTGCCTTTCTATAAAACGTTGTCGTTCAGTCAATTATGATGTCACTACGAGAACATGTATTCTCCTGGATAAAACACGATCAGAAGCCAGTGTGGGTGAGTAATATCTGCTCTCATTCCTTCTTCAATTTCTCTTCTAGCTCCGGATGAAAACTTTGATTTCTATGAGTTAGCTTGTGAACCGGTTTCTTTAACAGTTTCTCCTCTGAACGATGACAAGTTCCAAATATTCGTTGTAGGAAGGTCTTTCAAATCTGAGTCGAACAATGAACCTCATCTGAATGTGAAAAGCGCCGAACATTGCTGGTAAAAGGCTTACTAAGTTCCTATTCAGACTGTTTACTTAAGGCAATTATGTCGTCAATCTAGTACTGCCTGTAATTTTTTCGCGTTTTCCTCAACTTTGTACGAATGTCAACTAACGAGTATTGATATAACTGTGGGAGACGAAGATGCTTTTACGATTCCTCAATCTGAGTTTTCAATATACATTGTATCCAGTGTTTCAACTGTTTCTAGTTAGCCTCACATTTTTTTCAAGGTTTTACAACAAATCTTTGCCTAGGTCCTGGAGAGGAGCTCATTCCGATGGTATCTAGTACGACTATTCCACCATCATTTTATCCTACACTAGTTCCTGAAATTTCCACAACCTCTTCGCCTTTAGTTATTTCTAAACACGACAACTCTGTGGAAGATCCTATTTTTCTTTTTGCCAGCTCTGAGTTTACTGCTCCTACAGAAGATTTTCCATTTGGAACATCAGCACTCAACCTTGCTCACACAACATCTGTTCCTGTAATTCATGAAACGACTGTAATTTCTACTACTACAACTTCTACAAGCACATCTACCTCTCCTGTGTCCACTCAAGGACCTAGTAAATTAGGTATTTTGTTATTAATACCGAACAATGAAGTTGTCCCTCAGAGTTCTTACATCCTGTACAGAGTTTGGCTGCAAGCTTCGGTAAGCGGAGAGATTCCAAACAAGAAGTTTTACACGAACCAATCGTCACGTAAGAATGTCACAAATTCTTTACATTAAAAGTGTTCTTGAAGGGTGAGCTCATCTTTTGAAGAAGAAGACGTGGGTAAGGAGCCTGTACTCTTGCCCGAGTCTCGTGGAATAGGATATGCACGACCTGATAGCATCAAAGTACATGCAAGTTGTTACAGTCATGGGATGAATGTCACGTTCAGAGTTAATGACACGGTAATCAGAGAAAATGTTGTTTCATAATCATATCATTGCAGAAAAAATATACAGGAGCTGTATATGCTGTCGAGCGCTTCGAGCAGTGCAGAGTTATCATAAAGGAAAAAACAGAGTTCGCTCTATTCATCCCCAGACCCAAACATAATACCTGCTGTAATGCAATTGAATCAGTGAGTCTTTGCTAATTTCAAGCTCATTTTCTTGTCCACTAAACAAAATTCATCATGTCTGCTTATCGTTTCTTCCCAACCATGATATATCTTTTACAGAACGGTTCTATGTCTGTGATGATTGTGATGTCAAATGATCGTGTGATTCCTTATGATGTAACGACAGTCAATGATCTATTTTACCATGCATCATGTTCCTTCGATAGCTCTTCTCCTACCATCTTACAACAAGGCTTGGTTGTTGGGTAACAATTTCGCACAGTACAAGTATCAAAAACCTTATTTCTCATAGTGGACCATCCCCTGTTGCATTACCTCAGAACACTTCTGGACGAAAAATTTCTCTCAAAATAACTAAAAAAGGAAAACCTGTTGACAGCGTTTTCATTGGAGAAACATTGGTTGCTCATGTAGAGAGTGATTTTCCGGGTGAGCATCAATTAGTTTAGGAGTAATACGCTGCCATTTTCAGCTCAGGATTTGAGAATAGTAGATTGCTCAGCAAATAGAGTTGGTGGAACAGGCACCCCATCATCCATTCATCTGATAGCTGATGGGTACAATAATTTGTTTTTTCAGTATAACACAGTGCTTTCAGCTGCGCTTTGTTACCCAGTTTGATGTCAGCGATGTTCTTAGGCCCTCATGGTTGGCAGGCAACACTATCAGCTTTTAGAATTGATGGAAGTGAACACATTGATATTGTGTGTATGGTTGCGATTTGTGAGGAAAACTCAAAGTGTTCATCTGAGAAAGTTAGAAAAAATGATCCCCCGATGAAATTATATATGTGTTAAGGCTTCATGTCCACCTCCACCCGATAGGATTGTTAGGTCACTTGATGATTCTGGAGAAATACGAGTAGATTCGCGTCTTCGTGTTAGGGGTGATAATAATACAGGTCCACGATTACCACGTAGGGAAAGATTCACTTTCAATATCCTTATTCGATTATTGTAGAAGTCTGTTTACAACCAGCCTTATACATATCCATCTTAATACTGTTAACAATATCTATGTTAGCGATGTGTATTTCAATCGGAAGTGGATTTTTAAGACATCGAAGGAGAGTAGCAGGAAGATCAATATTGTAACTTTTACATATTAAAGAAAGAACATGCACGTTTTCTTTGCAGACAACACACTTTAGCCGATGACAGTCGTTATATAAAGACCATGGCCCTATAACGAATCTTGAAGAGCATCTAGATTAATTAATATATTTTCCAGAGCATTCCACTATTAGTAATCTATCTAATAAACATTTGCAAAAAAAGAGGAACATGTGTTCATGATATTTCGTGAACATTTTCAGTTGGTACAATCATTATCCCCGTGTATTCGTGAAAGTGAAAGAATGGAAACAGTTAATACCTTCATGAACAATCGGTCATGCGTAAGGTAATGACCGTTTTATCGTCTGATCAAGATTTCTGATTTCAAAAAGCTCCGAACAGTATCGATAGCCTTACAATACAAACAATATTATAAAAATAAGAATACTAGTTGTGAAAAAAAATATAAAAAGATGAGGACAATACCGAATGGGGTAAACTACGTATGATGGCATTGGAATGGTACAGGTGAGGCGGTCAAGGCCGCTAACGTCATGTAGCCCAACTAATGCCCGAGATTCCATTTAGTCAAACTTTTCTACTTACGCCAAATACGTACGCTTCACTTTTTTTTCTCTTAATTTTGGTTGCAAACTGTTTACTTTTTATTACTCATTGTATTCGTTCATCAAATCATCAGAAGAGAAAGTTACTCTGAGTGTCTGAAGCGGAAAATCCCCTATCGATGAAGCCAGCCAGTCCGGTCTGAAGATAATTTGACCATTGCCCTGTTCGTCATTTTTATAATCTGTGCGCCGTCCCATTCCATATCCGGTCAATAAGTACATTGAAAGTTAGATTTTGCCATTTTTCAATTTTCTGCGAACACTGTACGTGTGGTGAGAATTAGCATAAAACTCTCTCATTCATACGTGAAGATAGTACGTTAAATTTCATTTCTGTTTCATTCTTAGCAAGAACGGTTGTGCTGTCTCATCCTATACTACCATAGAATTGTGTGTTCACTAGATTTGACTTCTATAAATGGGAATGATGTTTGACGATACTTATCTAGACATCGTTTATCATTCGTTTTTCTATACCTTCTTCCACCTCATCAATTTGAGGACATCGAAATTAAATTGAGTACTAGCTAAGCAATCCACGTTCAAGTGTAATTTTGCTGACAGTTCCCACTTAATTTCTTGTTATGTTTTCCAGGAATAACATCTACACATTGTTTGAAATATATCTTGATGAGCGTTCTTAATCAATTAACCCTGTTCTGTATCAGATGTTAGAAGACTACTTTTCAGTAGTTAATGCTAGAGTAGGTCATCAGGTTCATCCACATTTTTCTTTTCATTTCGCTGTCCTCTTGATCCCGTTCCCCCCGGAATTGCTGTTTTCGGAGTATTATGACTTGTTCTTTTTACTCACAAAGTTAATTTCCAAAGCGGTAAAGTTTACTTATTGGTTAGGATCCACATTTGTTCCACATTGATATAGAATCCCGCCCTATTAGGATGTATCATGTCAATTTTTATTCGTCAATCTCCTGTCCCGCAGTTCATCTGAATTCTTACTATGATTGCTTTTGAACCTTCTTCGCTCATTCATCATTAATAGTCTATCAGTTTGAGAGTAACCAAATAGTTCTTCAATAGAATGTTGTTTGACTAAGTCTGACACGCTTTTCAAATTATTCCAAATTGCTCCGAAAAAGGAATCGTTTGTTCGAGTTAAGCCTGTGATGACCAGCCATTTATTCAAATTCTGTTCTTATTTCACCTGTCTCCGATATTTCTTACACACAAAATGACCTCCTGCCGGCTTGTCCTTGAACTGCACAAGCTCTAACGAATCTTGAATATGTTCGTTCACTCAGTTTGCATTTTTTAATGGTCTAGAACTATTTTTTCTTCAATACTCTACTTGTTCTCTATTTCGGATGTTTCATTAGTGTTGTTCATGCCCTCAATTCACGAAACTTTCTCGTTATTATCTAGGCAACTCTTATAACATACACCTAATTCTTGTTTTTTATCTTTTTGAGAGCTGTCCTCATCTCATCTCTCCTATTTAAAGAGGTTACTTCTGTTCATGATCTAATAAATATATCCAAAAAGCTCATTCTGTAGTTGCATTCGTATACATATATATTGCCTTTTAATACTTTTCGGATTGTGATTCTATTGAAGCACTTTAAGTAAGAAACTTCAAACTCAAAAAAAACTTGTTCAACTTTTTATGGAAAAGATCAGCCTTGACCCTTTGTCTATCGTTGTCGTTTCATATCAACTAATATTTTGTTTGGCAATTCTTACAGCTTTTTGCATAATTCTTATAACTCGGAGACAATTGTTTCATATATCGTACTGTGTGGTTGTAGAGACTGCAGCCTTATTGAAGTAGAGCAATCGTTCGGTTTACAGTCTCTAATACGTCTTTTTAGCTCTCTTTGTTCAAAAATACTCTCTTCACGAATTTAATTTTTTATTAAGTGCTAATTCAACTGTTTGTCTAGCCTACATGTTTTTGTTAACCAACTCTCAGTCTGAATTACATTCTTCGTTTTTTCAGTTCAAACTTTTTTGGTGTTGTTCATCTTCATCTCGACCTCTTTCAATTTTAAATAGGCTTTTGCTCAATTAAGTCTCCCAAGCGACGAATGAGGAGCATCTGTTACCTCGTTCTCGTCTTATTGCCTTTGGCGTACACAGGTGAATAAATTTTCTCTTCTTCTTGTTTCGTATAATCGCAGACGTTTTAGCCCCATCAACTTGTAATTCATATTATGTAAGATGGCCTAGAGTGAAGTTAAACTTCAAAGCAGTGACCAATGCTCGTTTGAACCTCAAAGCTTGTCAAAGTGCTTGCAGTCTTGGTGAAGATCCTGTAGTACCAGGTTTGAATTCTTTTCAACTTTCATTTATGAAGATTTATTTTTAGGTAGAAAGCTAGAATGTGCGGCCATGAATCATCATCCATCTCCTGATGGGTTTTCTCATCAATGCGATGTTTTTCAACCTCATCAACTCCAAAACGTGGATGGTTATGTTGAGGCAGATGATAGATATTCTTTCTACTGGAAGTATTGTCTAAACTGTATGTATAGTTGACTGATGCGCATAATGGAAAGATTCGATTACAGCAACCCGCAAATGTGGCGCTGACTATGCTTTCACATTCCTTTCTGATCGCTTCATGGATCATAATGAAGTTGTTCGTGTCGTGAAAATGAGCAGTTTAGAAGAATGTTTGACAGAATGCTTGGAAGAAACTTCGTAAGATCTACTCTCAGAACGTTCTCGGATAACTTTTTTTTGTTCAGTTTCCCTTGTCGTTCCATCAGTTTCAATCGAACAGATGGAGGATGTCATTTATCAGCCAACTCTCAACTTACAAAACCGGGATCTGTGAAGTTGAACAACAACCCCAACTTCAGAATAGATTATTACGAGAACAATTGTTATAATAGTAAGTTTTCCTTCGCAAGTTCTGTAAACTGTACATCCATAGTAGTCGATAATTGACTTTTTGACCTGCTATGCATACATGGGTGTAGGGTGTAGCTTGACAATATCCCAGACTGCTCCCAACCGGAAGTTTCATGTCTGTTATACGATTGCCTGCTTTCCTAATCCTGAAATTAGGAAGTGGATAATCTTAATTATCTGGCCAAATTTACTTCACAACATAGAAGCGAGAGATGGTTCAATCGGTATTTGACCTCAAATAATTCAATAGTGTGATGTTCTAAGTTTTCGGGATGGCTTAGAGACTCAGCAAGTTATTGAAAAGAAGTTAAAAGGGATTATAGTTAAACTTCTTTATTTTCTCTTTCATGAAAGTGCTTTCAATAAAACTAGTCAAACTTACTCTTTTGCTAGATTATCTTATAGAACTTTCTTTTTCAGTGTCTGAATCATTCAAATTTGAACAGGAGTGCCGAGAAGATGGAGTTATGGTACGAGTCAAGAGCAAGTTCCCTTATACGGGAGCCTTATATGGCTTATATGATTTCTTTACCTGCCGTATTGAGCCAAAAGAACAAAATTCTTTTGAATATCTGTTCCCATCACCAACTATGAGCAAAAACTGTAGCGACAGTATCCGATTCAAAGTTAGTTTGTACAGCTTTATGTTGCTTAAGACTCTCCTTTGCAGGGAAACGAAATGGTCCTTGAAGTTGTTCTTTCAACTGACGGGGTTGAGCCTCTCTATTTCATAACACCAGATGACTTAACTTATCAAGCTAAGTGCCCAATTCAACCAGCTATGAGGAAGTCATCTGTTGCTCCTATTAAACCTATCAACGAAGTTACAGACACGTATGTTTCCTTTTTCCCTACTCTCAGAGACAATTTTTTTTAGAACAAAGCAAATGGAAGCTTCGGCTCATGCATTGTTCTCTATGTTGGCTAAAGAAACATCTTTACCCAAAAAGGAAACGTTCCAATTACCTTTGACAACTCCTACTCCAAGAGGCGCTAACACCAGAACGACAACCACTGTAGCACCACCTTCATCTACCACAACGATGAAATCTACTACTCATGCTCCAACTACTACAACGAGCACTACAACAACAACAACAACAACTACTACTACTACTACTGCTACCCCAACTACCTCTACGACAACGACAACGCCCAAATCAACTACTCAAACAACGCAAGTTAATTTCGATATTTTTGAAACAAACGAACTTGGCGAGCAAAAAGATGTACAACCCGAAAGTGTCGCTCAACCCAATTTAGAAACAAACAATGGAGTTCTCGAAATTTCTTTTGGCGATACCACTAGCACACTGAAGCCCATACCTTCAAACTCTGATTCACAACCTTCCTCAAGCACTAGCACCACTATTTTAAGCACTAGTACTGTTATTCAAATCACGACTGAAAGCGCCCCATCGACTAATTCCACAACACGAACTACAACTACTGTTAGTCCAAGTTCTAGTGAAACACCTACCTCACCTTCTCAAAGTTCAACCACCACTAGCACTAATGAAACCAAAACAAATATTGAAAAAGTTGAAGTTCCAAAAGTCCCAATAGTACTATCTGATGAACTCTCTTCTACTACGGTAAGCCCCACTACATCATCTACTGCTACAACACAAAATCAATCAACTGCTCATACGGAAACTGCCAAACCGCAAGAGACTACAATTGTTAGTATTGCTACTCAAGGGCCTCAATTCGAGCCTGATGGTTCAGTTATTCAAGATATACCAACTGGAGCTCCAGAACCTGTTGAAACCTTTGAAGAAAACAAAGAAGTGATGATAGTTAACGGAGTTTTTATGAATGCGACTAAAGAACCACTATTGGCAACTCTACCTTCGAAAGCGACAGTCACCGTCTTAGAAGTAACTACTGTAGCTTCTACCTCACATAGTACTCCTTCGCACAGTACTGCTTCGCACAGTACTGCTTCTCACAGTACTCCTCCGCACAGTGCAGCTTCGCACAGTGTAGCTTCGCACAGTACACCTTCGCACAGTACAGCTCCGCACAGTTCAACTTCGCACAGTACAACTCCACGCAGTACAACTTCACACGGCTCCATTGTGGCATCTAGAGAAAAAGAAGAACAAACGGTCAAAACTGAGCTGAACACAATACCAATTGCTGTTGAGAAAAAGAATTTGCCAGAGTCCAGTTCTCCAGCCATGTCTGTATCTACAAGAGAAACTACATCTCCTACAGAACCACCTGTACAACAGACATCTACCATTGAGACTCCGAAAAAAGAAGCTCCCGCAAAAGGTACTTCGCAACCAATACAGGAGCATTTGAGAAAAATGCAGTTAGTTGAGAACAAAGCTCGTTCTATAATTGAACAAGAGAAAAAGGTTACAAAGCCCCAAGTAAAGTTGCAAAAATCAATCAAAAAAGCAAATCGTCAAACCAAAAAACCTGCTACAGATATCCCTTCAACATCTACTGTTTCAAGTAGTATTAAGGCACCCGTAAAAAGTTCAAAGAGAAAGCCAGCAGCTCAAGCTAAACCTCAAATTAAACCAGCAACTACTAAAATCAAACCATCTGGAAAACAGTTATCTCGACAATCGAGGCCAGCACAAACTATTAACCATTCACCGACTAATCAAACGTCAACATCCCGATCACCTGTGAGAAGTCAGAGAAGAAAAACAGTGTCAACTAATCCAGTCACGACAACGACAACTTCTCCTTCCATAACGTGGAATCCAACCCTTGAGCGTATTACCAAATTGCTAGAAAAGGGAATGCCCATCGAAGAAATACTGAAATCGGATGAAATAAATTTGAAAGATCTTGATGTTTTACGTGGTATTGCCACCACCACCACTACGTCTCCGACCACATCCACAACACTTGCTAAGCTCAACAGAGTAGTTAAAAAAGCTCAGAATCGTCAAGTCCCAAAACAACGAAGAAGTTCATCTGCTACTCTTTCGCATACCACAACAGCATCGTCTCCTCCTGCTACATCATCGAAACGATCCCTATTTAATCGTCAACATTCCAATTCACGCCGTCCATCTCAACGGCAACAATCTCGCAAGTCTACCCCTGATGCAACCGTTCCAAATACAAGTACTTCAACAACTTCTGCATCAACCACTGCACCTCGTCGAGCAATAGCTGTTAGCAGAGGCGTTGTTCATAGAAGAGAGCCTTCGAATACTTCAAACAAAACATCTATTTTGAGCATCCCAATCAAAGAAGAGAAAAAGCTTCCTCTCCCTAGACATCCCTCAAACCGCAGTTCAAACTCAAAACCCAGAAAACAAGTCAAAAAAGAATCAAAACTTTTTGCCAGAAAATCTCCGAAAGCTGCCCAAGCTTTACCAATTAAAGACATTGAAGGAGATATAATGGCTATGCTCTTGAAATTAAGCCATTTGATAGATAATCAACCCATGATTCTCCAGAAAAACCAAGTAGATTCAAATAGAAATAGCAAGACAATGACAAATATGAAAAACAATGCTCAACAGCCTAAGAGGTACATTGATCCTTTTACTGTTATAGTAACGATTACCAGCCAAATAGTTTACTTATCTACCATATTCATTTCCTCTTCTTATTTTCTTTTCTTTTCAGACGAACTTCAACCAAGGCAACAACAACAACCTCAACACCTGTATGATTTCAATCCACTTGAAACACAAGTTTAAGAATCAATTTTCAGACCACCACAACCACAGTTAAGCCTACTACCAAAGTCTTCCATAGAGCACCTGCTGTTCATGCTCCTGGACCTGCTTCTTCCACAAAGTGAGGATATTACCCTTAAAAACTTTTTTTATGTCGAATTTAGCCAAAAAATTGTGACAGCCGTAAAAGAACCTGTTTCTTTTGATATTTACAAGGATGGACGACCTGTGGACGGAGTAGTTGTGGGCTCAAAGATCACATTTGCTTTCACACCACATTATCCTATCCCTGGTACACATATTTCTGAGTTTTTCTTCAAGTCAACCCACGTTTCCAGCTGATCACATGTCTATTATTGGTTGTCAATCTGAGCCAGTAGATCCAAAATACGAATGGGAGAAAGAAGTTCTGCCTATCATCAAAGACAGTTGTCCAGTTGATTTCGTTGGATTGGTTTGTCCACCCTCGCAATCAGAGTATGGACTAAAGGTTCGTTTCCAACTGACTTTAAGATGTTCAAAAATGTTTTATAGGTTGTCGTTGAATCCTTCAGGTATCAAACAACACCGCAGGTTCTGTATACTTGCCTAATTCGCATATGTCCGTTCGGTGTTTGCCCTAAGGTGAATTAATCTGCCGAATTTTTTTTGTAACAATTTCTGCTTCAGAAGAAATGCCCTGATGTTGAAGGATGCCCTAATGAAAGACACAAACGTGCTCTATCTCTGGAACAAATTCGTGAAGCTTTAGAAAAAGACCCTGATCTTGCACGTCAATTCGGAATCACAGCAGACATGCTAACGAACAAGCCACTCTCAGGTTACTTTGAAAATTAGTAGCTTCTAATACATTTGGAATTACAGTGGAGCAACAATTGATGGCATTAGGAGGAGATCACGTTGTACAGCGTCGTCTTGTCGTTGTCAATTCAGAAGACCAACTGAAATATTTTGTTAATACTGGAGATCTTCCTTAAAATCATTTAGTTCAGATGTGTTTTTTCTTGCGTTTCTCTTGGGTACATGTACTGCGATCCTCTGATAATTCATGTAAATTTCGTTATATTTTCATCCCAAAATTGTTCCGTATATTTTCAAAAACCTATCTTGCTCGTACTAATAATTGTACATATCCCTTATTTGTGCCACCAACTTATCAGAAATTCTTTATTTTGTTTATTCCAAAAGAATACCAGTTGTCTTCTTCTACATGTTAGGATTACTTCTAAAATCAATAATAAAGGTTGAGGATGGTATGGCTTCTTTTCAATAACATTCATTATATTATTATATGAGTTAACAACTTATAACAAAAACATTTTCAATGGAACTTAAAAGATTTCCAGGTGTTTTCAATGCTTCTGCGTTAACTATTTCCATAATACGCTGATACTTTGAGCTGATTTTTAATTATTCATCAGTAACAAGGAAGTAATCAGCTGGCTGATGCTGAATCTAACAATAACCGAGGCTTGATTCCTTCGTTACTCTACCCACAACCACATCATATCATTGCATCAACGTGAGAAATTGAGAACTACAGCATCAGCAGTCTGACTCACCGCTCACTTAGATATTCACCAACGGAAATGATTTCCTTCTGTTTCTTGATCGTTAGCACGCCAGCATGAACGAACCTCATGAGTGTTTCATTTTCTGATGTAATTTGTGTTAGCGGTCGTTGTTTCAAACTCGCCTAATTGAAAAGTTTATACTTGATAAGCCCTCTTAGAGACATTTCTAAGTACTCATTGAAATTAATGAGGTGCTCATTTAAAAATAGATATATTGTTTTCAAAAATGATCCATTATTTACATTATAGTTCATATTGATTATAATTTATGCTGAAATCAAACATAGTTCGGTTTAATTGAAAATTATTTCTCACAACATCTGAAGAGTCAAATCTCCGTACATAAGCAAGGTTTCTTGTTGCTCATGGAACGAAGTGCATTTCACTATTGGGTAGAGTATACACAAAAATAGAGTTGAGAACGAACAACCTGACATTGAACATTCTCTTTACAATGGAATTTCTCTGAACAGCTTGATCATTATCATTCGGTTAAAAATAACCTCACTTGAAACGACGAAACAATTTTAAAACTGCAGATCGAAAATAGAAAAAAAAGTTTAAAAAACAAAGAAAGCAATGATGAAGGCAGTTGAAAAGATGTTGTCTGGAGAGCAGAAGGAGAAAGTTGATAAAGCTTCTGGTTCTTGAATCAATCTGTTAACCTTCTGGTGTTTTCAAATTCGTCTTCAAAATTTTGACTGATGTATATGAAGGAGCATCAGAAAGTTGAGTGATGAGAAAGTCATGTTACTGGTTTATCTCTTCTGATTATATTGATCTTGAAACATCTTCATGTGCAAATCAAACCGTAAAACTTTGATGAGCTTATGAGCCATTGTTGGATTTTGTCATTGCATTGCTTGATTGAGTCTAGCCATTCGAAAGAATAGATAAAAAAATTTTTTGTTTAAAAGTTCGAATCGAACAGGGAGGGGAGAATGAGAAAGTTTAAAGTTTAAAATTAGTGAAGCTGATCATGACAATTTTTGATAAATGTATCTTCGGAATCCTCCCACTTTCATCTGCCGACTCATCAAAGCTCAGCACGTGATTTGAAATCACCTGAGCCAATTGTTGTGTATTAACATTTATCATTTCTTTCTTTTTGATTCTCTAAAAATGTATGAAGAATCTATCTCCTATATTTATCTTCGTTTAACAATCCAATTCTCTAAATAAAATGAATGTGAATATTATATCTCTAAACATTTTCATTTAATGCTTAGTGTATATAGCAGCTGTTCAGAGGATGTCCCCGAAACTATTTAAATACGCCTCCGGCTATTCTTTCTTCTTGAACTTCGATATCGAACATGACTCTTATCATCATCTGACCTTCCCTTCATTCTCTTATGTTCTTGAAATTTTTAATTTTAGCGATGTTTTAGAAATTATATCATCATAATTATAGATTAACAACATGCGCAGCTTCATCGTATTCGCTATTGCTTTCTGTTGCTTTGCTTCTGTCTCAGCAACCCTTCAAAATGTGACTGTCAAAGGAGTAGCTGTTTGTAATAAGAGACGCTTCTCTAATGCTCATGTTCAGCTATACGATAGAGATACACGTAAGGCAGATTCATCATAATGGATAAGCAAGTAGAGATTCTAGTTGACCCCAACGACTTATTGGCCGACATTCACACCGACAAGGAAGGAACCTTCACTCTCTATGGAGAAGAAAATGAGGTATGATCATCAAATTTTCAGAACCAACTAATAATTCACTTGAAGGTCGGAAGTATCGAGCCATTCATCAGAATTCATCACAACTGCAATGCTCAGAAGGTAAGAACAAGCTGTGACAGATGACTATAACAATTGGTTGAAGGGTTGCACCAGAATTTCTGATTATACAATTCCAAAAGACAAGATTGGAGGAGTTTATGATATGACCTATGTCACTTTGGACATCATTGTTCATGGCGAAAAGGAAGTCTGCTAGAAGATAGAAGAATATAAAGAAAAACAAATTTTATCTGTACATATATAAATCATCATGATTATTGAATATTGTTGTTTGTATGATATGATATAGTAATGAAAATATTCACATAATCAACTTGTTCGTACTTTGTTCCCCATAGTGTGTTTGAGTACTTCAAGGATGATGAGATGATAGCAGACGTTCCAATAATTTTAACTCATCAAGTACAAGATTATTGAGATGCATGTATGTTTCTGACATTTTTGAATATTTTGTATTTAAAAATAAAATAGATTTTAATGAATTCCCACGGGATCAATAGAATATATTAGCTGAAACTCAAAGAATATTTAAGCAGAGACTTGTAGCTTTTCAGTTTGATTTCCGACTGCACAGAAGTATTACGTTCTTCGCATATTCTCCTTTTGTAGCAATGTCTGAAACAAATTTGTCCGTACATATCCAGGTGAAGCTTATATATATACTATATAAACCATATAATACTTAAATATGTCAATAGTTAATCAAATTGCATCTCATGAGAGCCATGTATTAAAGTGTTTTTTGCTGTATCGCGCACATCAGCCTCCTCCCCGCACATTTCAACTTCTTTTTCTCCGCAACCAAGAATCTGTTTCTCAATCCTTACTATTCAGATGGTGGAGATTGAAGAAGTAGTTGCATTAAACAAAATTGTTATATTTTGGATAATTATCATCATGAACATAGTTGGCGATTTTGGTAATATTTCATTAATCTGTATAACATTACGCACTCCAGACTTACGTAACAAGTCAGGTATGTTCATTATCATTAATGAATTATAATAAACTATATTAAGGATTACTATTACTTATAACTGCTGTAAGCCATTTGATCTGTCTTTTATCTGAATTCGTGAATGCATTCTACATTATAACAGATATAACAGTCAAAAGAAGAACTTGTGCCTTTTTAATATTTCCTTATATGTTTTTCATAAATCATCAATCAGCAATGTCATTAGTTCTCATTACTGACTTACTCTTGGCTATATCTCGTCCATTTTGGTTCATATGTCTCAGAATGCACTTATATGTTTAAATGTTTCTAGGTATCATGCATGTAATACGGCTAACTACTTATTGGTTATCACAACTCCAGCCATGGCATTTGGACTATTTTTCTCTGTTATGACTCTATATAGTGCAGATGATGCTGAAATTCCACTCTGTAACCCTCCATTAGGTACATTTTCTATGCTTTAATCAATTGACTTCTCTATAAAAGAATATTCAAAAAAATACAATAGTAGCTACTTGTTTGCAGTGTTGATTCCGTTTTGGTCAAGAGTTTTCAGTCTGAGCAATGTCATATTGAATACATGTGTCGTGTTATTATATATAATATCTATGCATCTAATCAAAAAACGAGGTTTCAATTTTTACATTGTTTCACTGATTTGTTTACTTATATCCCATATGTTTCAGAAACTTCAGACAATCTCAGGAGGGCAAAAGCTGTTCTAAGACGCTTAAGCGTGTCCGCATGTGTCTTCGTTTTTTCATGGTATATATGTCTGTTGGGAGTTGATGTAGCGAATTACCTTCAGCTATCTGATTTAGCCACTGTATATGTTAAATCAAATATGGTTGGATGGATTTCTGAAAATATTTTTGTAATAATCCATTCTAGGTTTTCTTTGCCATGCTTTGCTATTCTCAATCATTCTATACAACATACTGGAGATCAAACAAGTATCGTAAAGCTGCCAGGCTGCTTATGTGTTGGTCAAAGAAACAACCATTCAAAGAAAATTCACGACAAGCAACAACCACGTTGAAGCCTCCTGGAATATTAAAAACGTGCAATTCATGTAAATGAGAAAGGTTTCATTATGGTTTCAGTGTTTTCTCCCTCGAATTTTGTTTGAATTCTAAGTTTTGTCCATCCTTCTCTATTCTCTTGTCTTTCAGTTGATTATTGGTGTTCAAATTGTAAATGAGAAACATCCAATCATTGATTTTACAGAAAATACTGTAGTTGAATAGCAAAATGAACGATTTGCGAACAAATATGTTGCTGAAAGTCTAAGAGAAATCCTATTAGATAAAAGGAAAACTAGGCTTGAAAAGTTAAATTTTCAAACAACTGCCGGCCATTATCAATGAAAAGATTGATCTGATGAATTATCCAATCGGATCAGAAGAAAGGAGGAATCCTCCAATGTAAACAAGCTGAACGATGAAACAAAATCAACGATTTGAAACTCCTTCCCTTTCTTCCTAATGATTCCATTCTTTCATTTGTTCCCATCATCTGAATCAGTTTACTAAAAAGCCATGAACGGAATGACTCTTTTGTCAACTGAAAAACAGATGACTTCAACGACGAATGAATCATTCATTCTCAACAGATGACCCAGGCAACATCCTCGTATCTGTACTGTATGATCTATAAACTTTTTGTTTTTCCTCAAACCCTTCTTACTCTCTTCTTTTTGTTTTCAACAAATTTCACACAAAACTGTATCATCTGTCTGTTGTATTTCTGAAATTTCTTCTATTCCGAAATGAATCCGCCCCTTTGACAGCTGCTGGCCGTCCCTATAAAAGATTCCACAGATGACAAACCGTGCCACGTTCATCTTTACTTTCTGTTGAAATCCTTATTTTTTTATTTTTTCCAACAAACTTCTCCCTAAACACTAAGCTTTCAGATAATGCGTTGCCTTATTCTTCTGGCTTTCGGCTTATGTTGCCTTCTCTCTGTTTCTGCTAAGATGCAGAATGTAACCGTTCAAGGAGTTGCTGTCTGCAACAAGAAGCGCGTTCCTAACGTGAAGGTTCAATTGTGGGATAAGGACACCCGTTAGTATTATACAATAAGAAGCGCGTAGTAACAATTTTCTAATTCAGTTGATCCCAACGATCTCCTCGGAGAAGTTACCACTGACTCTGAAGGAAACTTCAAAGTTTACGGAGAAGAAGATGAGGTTTTTCAGCTATCAAAATATAAATGCAATTACTAATTTAAGGTCGGAAGCATTGAACCATTCCTTCGTATTGAACACGGCTGTGCTGTATCTAAGAATGTAAGTTTCTGTGACTGCATCTGATTTTCTATTGTGACATCTGCAGGGCTGCATCCGTACTAGTGAATACATCGTACCCAAAGAGAAGATTGGAGGAGTTTACGATATGACCTATGTCACTTTGGACATCAAGGTTCACGGAGACAAAGAAAAATGCTAAAAAATGTGTTGTTTCTCTTGAGCAATAAACTTTCGTACAATGAACTCAGAATAAGCTCAAAATGAAAAAAACAATTGATTCTGGAAGTTGCTCACTCCATGTGCGTTTTGAGCTAAAAATACATGATATGATCAGTTTTGAAGCAAATCAACAGATGGCTGGCGCACAAGATTATTCATCGTCGAATGATCTCTCGCATATTGTGTTTTGCTACTTCATTCATATGCACTTGGCTGCAAAAGTTCTGTGAAACTTTCGGATAGATGTAGTAGGTGAATGTTATAGCATAGAACCAGAATGTTCTTTTAAAAACAAGACGAATGTCAGAAAAAAACAAAATATTTACTCCGATTAATGAGAAATATAGTCAAATACTCGAAATTCGTACAACTTTAGATACTTATAAACCAAACGTGTTAAAGAATACACTCCTGAACGATTTTCGATATTTGGTGCATCTCCCAATACATATGAGAATAAGCTATTATAAGGAAATTAGACTGAAACAAAGAAGAATGAGTTCTTTTCCACTAGTTAGATAGAACTGACAATAGCTGAATGAATGTTTACTAAAGTTTCAACATCATCAATGTATATTAATTCCAAGATAGCCCAACATGAATCCATCGAGTAGGCGCATAAATACAAGAACGGCATAACTTTCAAAGACTGACAAGTTTCTAAATTCGCTCTGAAGTTATCTTTTGTTCATGCATAGGAAATGCACTTCACCTTTCTTCCTCGATAAATTCTAATTTCGCTTACTCAGCATCGTAATACATCTGATTTGGAATGAAATGATGATAAGTACATTAATGGATACATTACCAATAGAACGAACCGGCGCAAATCATCTAGGAACAACAATGAACGCTGATATAAACTAAGATAAACTGTATATTGAGAACTTAAAATCAAAGAACATCAGGAAACTACGTCATAGGAAATTTTGAGCGATGCAAATGTCCAACAGGCTGCAGAATATAAAACGCATGGTCTGGAGAAAAAAAGTGAGGCACGCTAGAAACCCGGTGGTACCTGAAACCTCAACATTCAATTAACATTCAATATTTTTTGACAAATAAGTAGTTTTACAGTGAGAAGCAGATCGATGACTACTGCACACTAGATCGTCTGGGTGTTTTACCTCCAGAAGAATCATAAAATCAAGAAAGAAAAAAAAACTAACAATTAGAAGATAATGGTCAATCTTTTTATTATACTGATTAAATAGGAGCAACAAAGTACAACAAAGATATAATGGGACATACGAAAACATTTTTTTCGAAAATTAACTTTGCTTTTTTTGAGATAACCGCGGAATCACTGTGGAGGAGGTGGAGGAGGAGCTGGAGCTAATAACTTGGATAGATCTGGTTGTGGTGGCGGGGGAGGAGGAGGAGGAGGAACGATTCCGGCTCCTGGGACAGGTGGAGGTGGCACAGGCAATGGTGACGATCCAGGGTACCAACTAAAGAAATATGTATAAGGCCCTCTGAATGATAAACATACCCTCTACTATAAGCGGCTGCCGCAGCTGCAGCTGTGGTAGGTGCTGCTGGAGTACTTTGAGCAGCTGAAGGACCACGTCCCCTTGGTTGTACTGGTGCGGTAGTGGTAGGATAGTATTGAGCTTGGAACTCATGTGGAGGCAAAAATCCTGGGAAAGGTGGCGGCATTCCTTCATACCCGCGACCAGCACCACCAGCGTAACCACCTCGAGGTGGGAAGCCACCCTAGAGAATAACATAAAAAAAAGAAACACAATAAATGCCTACTCTTCCAAGACCGAAAGCTCCATTCGCAATCTTCGGTTTTTCACCGAGCTCTTCCATTAAAGCTGAATATTCATCATCCATAATTGCAGCACCCATCTCTCCGTCGACTCTAGGAGTCTTACAATCACGGGTGAGATGGCCAGCGGCTAAATTAAGACATAACTTTGCCCACGAATATGAACAAACCTCCGCAATTAGCGCAAATAATTTGTGCAGTGACATTAGGAGCATCAGGACATTCCCATGTTTTATGCTCATCAGATCCGCAGTTCGAACAACGCGTACTGGCAGCGAGATCTTCAGGACGAAGAGTACCATTCAATAAAGCTAATTCTCTCAGCTGGAGCTTTCTCAGTTCATTTTGACCATCTGGTATATTAGTTGCTTCGGCGATGATTTGACGAATCTAGAAAGAAAAAAATCTGAATTCCAAAAGAAAGAACTACCTTTTCACATGCACGCTTAATAGTTGCTTGATCAGTTGCTGTTACATAAGCATGAAGAGGCTCGTTTTCTCCAGGTAAAGGACCCATGCGGCTGCCAAGCTTTCCTTCTTTTACAGAGCCCTTACCTCTGAAACACCATTGAATATAACGAGTATAAGATGAGACTCACCTGATAATGATTTTAGCGCCAGTTTCCATTTCCAAACTTTTCAAGGTGTTACCTCTAGGGCCAATGAGTAAACCGACAAAGTTAATTTCCGGATGGTGTTCTTGCGGTATCCACACCTTATCATGTAATCTAATGTTTGGAGCTCTAAAGACATAAAAAGTTAACCAGCTTTTCCCAAAACGGAGAATTCACCTGTAGTCAGTGGGAGGTTTGAAACTAGGATTGATTTTCAGCAATGATTGGATCTTTTCATGTCGCAACTGCTCCAATTCTTGGCGTTTACGAACTTCACGAGTGTTCAGCCTTTTGCCATTACTGTCATAGATAGGTTCGGGAGAGGGACTCCTGAAATCAGGTAGAGTAAGATGAGAACCAAGCGAACACATGTGAGTTTTTGTTTTATGTATTTATAATTAATCTGTTAAAGTTTTTTTTAGTAATCCGCGAACAGCCTTTTTAAATCTGAAGCTCGTATATTTAACTAAAAAGCTATTGGCTGAAAAATTAATTAAAAATTAGACAGCAGCTTTCCAATAGATATATCATCCATTTAGTCATACGTTCTGATTCTAAAGGCTAAACATTGATTACAAAGTCTAAAGATTTAGAGTTTGCGCGTCGCGATATCGAAAATCATAACTAAAAATCCAAAAAATCGCATTAATGCTCTTAGACACATTTCAACAAAAATTAAACAGCAGTCTCAATCTGAAAAGGGACTTTAACTAGCCTCTCCGCAGGATCTACAGGTCCAGAGAAATCACCGAGACGAAGCTTTCTTGTCGCATCTTCTATTTCCAATTGAACTGAAAAGCACGGCAAAGCCGTGTTTAATATTAGAAAAGGAAAACATACAAAAAACAGTTAAGAAGCAACTTACTTCACTTACCCAGATTTTGACTGGAGAATTTTTGTAAAATTAAAAAAAAACACTCACGTAAATAAGCACTGCGCTGCTCATCGGTCAAATTGGAAGGAAGTATAGTAGGCATTCCCGGTACGAAACTCTTGTTCGTGGACCAACGACTCTTGCGTTCCCGTTTTCTTTCAAGCGAAGCTTCAGCTGGTTTATCACCAGATAAAATTTCTTTGGCTATAATACAGAATTTCGTTAAAACAACTGATTGATTTGAACAACCATGCTCTTCACGGAATAATGGATTGATAATAGGTTCCTTAGGACCAACTGGAGCAGGTAACGGGTCAGGAGATCTCTCTCTGAACAATGGTCAATCAAACAAAATTCAAAAAGAGCATTTTACCTTTTGCGCTCATGAGATCTAGAGCGAGAACGTCTGGACCTATCTCTTGAACGAGACCTTCTTTTACGATCTTTGGATCTGGATCGTGAACGCCTTCTTCTATCACGGTCTCTATCACGGTCTCTATCACGCTTACGATCACGATCACGATCACGATCACGATCCCGGTCACGATCACGGTCGCGATCACGATCTCTGTCTCGATCTCTGTCTCTTTCTCTATCTTTATCACGTTCACGTTCCCGTTCACGAGAACGTGATCGCGGTGATCGGGAGCGAGAGGGTGTACGGGCTGGGCGTTCCATGGTACTAGGATCGGGTTGATCTGTAAAACAAGTGTGACTAAAGAAGTAGCAAACAATATCATACAATCAGGAGGTGGAGGAGGTCCCGCAACCTCGTCTGTCATGGCCGATCCCCATTTGCGAACAAAAGGCATAGGCTCGGTGTTACCTCCAGTTTTGCTGCTCATCTACAAGAAAAGAAGATAGAACTGAAATAAACAAAATGAAAGATGATTAGAGCGCTGTGAAGTATTCTCGGCAGGATAACCGGTGAAGAAGTAATAAAAAAATTAGAGATCCATATACATTGAAACAATAAAACGATCTGAATAATTAAGCAACAGGATCAACAATCATTGGTTCAGATTTTATAACATCTTGCTGTGCTTTTTCTTCATCATTATTCTTTTGAGATGGAGGAGCACGTTTCTCTGTCAGCTCACCACAGTCCACTATCTTGACTGCCATTTGAGGTTTTCCTCCTGGTGTACCCTATTAAAAGATTAAAAACGTCATAACAATGCCAAGATAATCGCGCACCTGCTGCTCTATCTGCCTGACAATATTCATTCCTTCAACAACATGTCCGAAAACTACGTGTTTATTATCTAACCACTCTGTTTTCTCTGTACAAATAAAGAACTGAGATCCATTTGTGTTTGGACCACAGTTTGCCATAGATACTGTTCCAGACATCGTGTGTTTTAGCTAAGATGATATCATAGTGTTAATAGGATACTTCCGTGTTACCGTGAAGTTCTCATCTTCGAACTTTGGGCCATAAATAGACTTTCCACCAGTTCCATCTCCTTTGGTAAAATCTCCTCCTTGGATCATGAATTTCGGTATGATTCTATGGAAGGTTGAGCCTAATAGAGTAGATGAATAATCCCATCAGTGTTATTTCATCACAAACCTTCGAAGCCAAATCCTTTCTCGCCAGTACACAAGCAACGGAAGTTTTCAGCTGTTTTAGGACACACATCCGAACGCAATTCTATCACAATTTTACCAATGTATCTGAAAAACATAAAATGAAAATCTGTGACATATATAGGCTTCTGTACCTGATGCCAACTTTTACTCCCAAATATACACGTGGTAGCTTAGAAGAATCAGATTCTTCTGATGGTTCTTCACCTTCTTCAGCCATTCCGCTTCCTTTACCATATGTTTTTAACCACTCATCATCAGCCCATACCGGACGAGAAGACCGCTCGGTTGCCTTTGGAGGTCGAGCGAAGTTACATCTGAAGAAAACACAAAAAATTAAAAACACATTATGGATAGACGCACCTGATTGTTCTTCCATAAAGTTCACTATCGTTCATGTTATCGATCGCTGCTGCAGCATCCTCAGCCAATTCAAATTCGACAAAGCTACAAATTGAGGTTATTTGAGTTAATTTAGTATTCCAATTACCTACCCAAAACCTCTATGCTTTCCCGACTCATAGTCCATAGGAACAGATATAGCAACAATTTCGCCAAATGGGATGAACGCTGCCGTTAATACCTAAAAAGGAAATGAATTGGTCTTGATGATGAGAGCAAAATTACCTTCTCGTTAACTTCTTCACCGAACCCCCCAACATATAATGTCCTTTTCCGATTGTGAGGGAAGTTTGTCTGCATCTGAATCAGAGTTATAGCTGTAGAAAAAATATGTTGAAGATAGCTGGGGTGGACACACCAAATAATAAGCCAAGCAAAACACATTGAGATTAAATATGCATCAAATTAATAAGGACAAAACATTGATCAAATCAATTAATAACGACGGTCACGAGATCTGCTTCTACGTCTATCATATCGGCCTCCACCACCTCCTCCTCTATCTCCTCCACGACGACGATCACGGTCTCCTCCTCCGCCGCCACCACCACCTCCTCCCCCACCGCCTCCTCCTCTTCTCATTGAGGGGTAGTGACCAGCCGAATCAGCTCTGAAGCGAAGATATACGGTGAAGAACTTAAACGAACAAGTACCTTCGTCCTCTTCGACCGTACAATTTCTCTCCTAACTCCGAACTTATAGCTTTTAAGTGCATGAAATTGCAGAAACCTCCTTTGGAGCAAGTAATGACTTCGTGCTGCCGACAGCGAGATTCGCGAAAATCAGTAACTGGACATAGTTCGGCATAAATTGGAGCTCCATTGAACCTAAGGAAACTACTTGATACCTTGAAAAGGGATTTTTACTAACCAGCGATCGTTCAGTTCTTTCATGGCTTTTTCTGCATCTTCTTCTCTTCTGAATTTAACATATACGTTGCCAACCATATGTTCTCCAATATTTTCACAAACATTGATTTCTTCAACTTCTCCATACTGAAAAACCAGAGTTATGAAGTAAATTCAGTCAGGAAAAGAAACTAACTCTTCTTTCCATTTCACTGAAGACTTCCTCATAGAACTCATCGAAATACTTTTGTTCTTCAGCGTTTCGCTGCCCAACCTCTGAACTCATAATATAGCACGATCTTGATAGCTAAAACATACTGTCGAAAGCATCAGCTTGTCTGACATCTACAACGGGATTATGATAGAAGTTTTTCAACAACACAGTTGGAGAGAAGGTTGGTATATGATGGGTTCTAGAGCATTTCTCTCCGTGGCGGCAAGCTCCCGTCTTGAAAGGAAAGATAACGGGGAAAGAATACAAACAACTTACTTTGAAAAAGAATGAACAATTAACTTTATCTTTTTCAGTTCCATAAATAGAAGCCAAGTATTCGGCTCCAGAGAGACCCTCGCCGAAAGACATAGCTAGAATCAACTAATTATATTGACTGACCAGAACGAGGCAAGGCGCCGTATATAGGCAACGAAAAAATTTTTAGAGAATCGGAAGTCATCAAGAAATAATTTTGAACAAGTAAGTTTAAATATGAGCAATGAAATTAAATAAACTATTCAAAACAGTAACAAACAAATTTCAAACAACATTCTCCAATAAAAACGCTGTCGGTAAGGAATTCGAAAAAATATTCAAATACTATGTGGGGTGTGCCCCACATTAATGCGCGCGGTTTCTTGTAAACAGCATACAAGTGCCGTGAACTACCGCTTGAGTTCTTTTTTGTATAATACGTAAATTAAGCTCCACATTTTTGATTCAGCAGTATGAGTCGCCCAGGTGCGTGGTCAAGAGTGCTCTCTAATTTGGGCAAATATTTAAGAAAAGATTGGTCCCAAAAAGTAAAGTTTCGTCTCTTTCTGTATATTAATTCAATCTATCACTCAGACGTACGTAGGTGAAGATGGTCTTGGTCATAGGTTTTACGAAATAGCAAACTCCAGACAAAATGTTGCCAGGTTTTACCGATTTGAATAGGAAAACTTTATTCAGATTTTAGAGGGTACGAACATGTTGATGGAAAAAGTAACACAGAGCCTAGCATAGAGTGGCAGTCATGGCTTCGTGGCACACGGAAGTTCCCTCCTTCAGAACAAGAACTGTTCATTAACGCTGCGAAACAACAAGTAATTGAAGGTTGCTATGATGTTTAAAACTTTTCCGATTGAGGCTCAGCTTATGGACAATAGCTTGACAGAGAAAAATGCCCCCAGTGTTCATAGCGAAGGAAAAAATTCAGGAGACTCACCGAGTGCTTTTCCGAAGTATAAAGATTTAGAAATAGCGCCGGGTTATAATAGTAAGACAAAGAAGTAGTAGTTCATGCTTACTTGTACATACGCAGAGCTAGGTAGAATTTACATTTGTTTCTGATTGTATTTTTGGAGAGATACTTTTTACTTTTTAAGAGCATCCGAACCCACAAAAGTTCAAAAAATAATAAAAAAATTTTTTTTGTCTCGTTATAGATAAGAAGTGGATTTATAGATTATCTGATTTAGATATTATTATTTCTCTTTTCTGATACAGGAAGTCAACAGACGTTATAATGTTTTCGATCAGGGCAGTAAAAAAGGCTTTTGCCTAATTTCCTAGTGTTCTTTGAATTGTGCGAAACTAACACAGAATGAACTTTTTGAAATAACCTCTTAGTTGCCATTAGACGTGTTCGTTTCCGACTAGTACCTTTCCATAGTTTTGTAGTGTTTTGTAGTTCTGAATTATAGAATGCCGGGATTGAAAAAAATTTTAGACGGTGTTATACGTTTCCGCAAAACTGTTAGGAGCGATTTAGTAATTTTGTCTCTTTATACTTTTATCAAAATTTTGACGTACAGGTAAAGCAGTTTGAAAGAATTAGAGACAATCCTAGTCCTACTGCTGTTTTCTTCACATGTATGGACTCACGAATTCTTCCTGCTAGATTCACACAATCACAAGTGGGAGACATGTTTGTTGTCCGAAATTCTGGAAATATGATACCACATTCAAACAATTATGGCAAGTGTAGTAGAATCATGAGTATTCATCTAGCCCGCTTAGGATCTGCCGGCTTTGAAGTTTCTGTAACCACTGAACCTGCTGCACTCGAGTTAGCTGTTAAACGTGGAAAAATAAATCATGTTATCGTTTGTGGACATTCGGATTGCAAAGTGAGTTTTCCATCGATTTCGACGATCTAGTCGCGTTCATATAAGCTTTGAGACATCATGGCACTGTATAAGTATAATTTCTAATATTCATGCGTGGTTAGAGACGTTTTTAAGGCTATCAACACTCTGTATAACCTTCATTGTTGTCCACATACCTTCGATGCTGAGTCTCCAATGGATCATTGGTTGAGAAGACATGGGTATCAATCTATTAAAAAGCTTGAAGAACGTCTTGCTCAGCCAGGCCCTGTCAAGTTTATTGCAAACAATGCTCTCTACAGGTTCATTAACATCGCGACAACTTACTTTTTCGCTTTTTCAGTTTCACTGCTGAAATTGATCCTGAGAATCGCTGGGGTGTTGAAGACAAACTTTCTCAAATAAACACTCTGCAACAATTAGAACATATCAGTTCTCATGGTTTCTTGAAGGTTTGCCTTTCCTTTGTGCATTTCTCACTTTTTCTCAATATAGGAGTTCCTGGAAACTAAAAAAGTTTTCCTTCATGCGATGTGGTTTGATGTCTATGAGGGCGAGATGTACATGTTCAGCAAGGAACACCGTCGCTTCATTTTGATAGATGAAGATTCAGTAGATTCAATTGAAAAAGAGATCGAAGCTCAATAATTTGGGTACCATACTGGTGTTAGTAGTATTTTTCCTGTCACGCATTTACTAGAGTCATTTATGTACATATCAAGCTTCTTAAAGAGTTATATGAAGATTTTTATCAGATTTGTTTTTATAACTATTGACTGTCGTTCTCTCAGGTTATTACTTTCAAATTCCGTCTTTCTGCTGTGCTATAATCTTATTTCAGATTGTCATCATGAAAGCCATCTCCCGGTTTATGTCATTGAGACATTTCTCAGCTCCAAGTCCTGCCTCGGCACTTACAAAGAGAAGACGGTTTTATAAAGTGACTAGTTTCTTGCATTTCATTTAGAAAACTGTTTCCGTTTCAGGAAGTTGGAATAGTGGAGGAAAAGTCGGAGAAATTCCCAGTTTACAAAGTGACTTTGGATGGAAGAATATTGAAAACACAAGCAGGACAACCTTTACAAGTAAGTTTATTAAGACGTTTGGAAGATGAACCCGTTCATATTATTAGTGTTGGAGTTAAAATGATTGGCAGTGAGAGATTTGTGTTATAATTTCAGTTCCATCTGTCAGTAGATGAAACGCCTTCTTTCCTCATCCTATAATTGCTTCAGTAATGCTTGAAATTTTAAAAATATAAACTAACAATTTGCGATTTCTCAATGAAAGCCAAGGGAAGATCATTGGGGCCTGCCGGATCCACGTTGTTCAAACTTGTTGAACTAGTCTGTCGTGAGGATAATCGTGATGGAGGCACCAAAGCCGAATCTGCGATTCGACAAACGCAAAAAAGGAGTGCCAGAAGCTAAATATTCTAATTTGGTAAAATTTGATGGGCTGAGCCATTTACCGTGAAGAAGAGTGCAACACCTATGAGATGCAAAAGAATGTTGTGAAGTGTCATGATGTGAACCTAAAAAATAAAAAAGTTAAATGAACACGCATTACTGATGGTAATGGATGACTGAATTATTTCATGCGAAAAAAAATCAATATGATTGTCGACAGAGAGAACAGCTCTGATAAGCCCAGAGAACTGCCCTTTCCTGACTCATTTGGTTGATTCCAATGCGGAAATATGGAAATGCAAATAAAACAGCGAACTTGAAGGAATCGGAAAAACGTGACTCTCCGTTCAAAAATAAAATGAAATGTTGTTTAGAAACATAACAGAGTTCATTCAGATTGAATCTGAACCATTGGCTTTAGCTGTTGCTGAAGAATGGGCTTCTCAAGGAGAGCATCTGGAGCTTGGCCATATGAGATTAACTGGACTTTCTTTCACGTCTCAAGATAACCCACTTGGAATGACTAAGTAATTTTTTTCTCTCAACTTTTTAGTTTATTGATGTTTCAAGACAAAGCATTACAAGCAAGATACTTGAGTACTTAGATGGGGATACTGTTCTCTACTGGAATTCTGAACAGTCAAAGTTATACAAGTAAGAATGGTTTTACTAAGTTTTTGTAAATCATCTTCTCTAAAGTTCTCAAGAGGAAAAGTGGAAACCAGTCATCGAACATGCAAATAATGGACTTGGAACTAAGCTTTTCCCTGTTGACAATATGTTCAGTCAGTCAATTGATAAAGAAAAGTTATATTTCCTACCTCATTCAGCTTTCCCTGTTACGGACGATGACAGACGCAGAGTGGAAAAGTGGTGTCTTTCACACAACTTTTGGGCTTTGAATGGACTGCAGTATGCCGTAGAGTCAGTCAAGAGCGTTATACTTCCTTATAACGTTCTATCTTTTAATCTGACTGGCCCAGAAGCCGTCCAATTAGCTACTCTAGAGCAAAGAGTCCAGGCAGAGACATGGGGCTCAGTGAGTTTCTGTTACTCTTTTTCGATATACGATTCTATTGTTATTTAAGGTTGAGTTTGCTCATGGCGTAGAAGAAGAAGAGCTAACTTCAAGATTGTCGGCGGCTGCCTTGTTCGTCTATTTCAACTCTAATCATTTTAGAACAAGTTCTGAATAAAATTTGTTTTAGTTCCTACGCTTTAGAGATTGTTTTGTTTTCTTTCTGTTGTTTTATTAGTAAATCTTTATTCAATCCTTCTGTTCATAGTATTATAGATTCTCATTAATATCAAATTTGACTGTATGGTAAACACATGCGGCATAAGTATCCTGAGGTCCACACATTCCTTCTATTGATTTCAACAAACTTTTCTGAAAACGCATCAATGACCAATGACTAAAACTAGTTTTTCAAACCTTATAACTCAAGCTAACTCCTTTCCTATTTTCGTAAGTATCACATAGTTGTTGACATTGAGATCTTTTTGATCCTTCTACTTCCTCACGATCCAGTACATGAACCACGGCAGTTAGAACACCCTGAAAGCGGGAAATGTTTGAAATTCAGGCTTGCACTGATCATCCATGCAAGCTGGGATAAGAATAATTTTTAAGCACCCAGGCTCTGGCCCGCTGTTGCATATTGGTTTAAACTGTAACCCTACTTGTTTCAGATAATGCCAGTATTTTTCCATCTCTTCCCTTTCCTTGTCATCACGCTCATTCAATTCATCTCTTGATGGAGTACAAATCTTGGAAATAACTTGAATTGCAAGTTCTAAAGAAGTAACTCACCTTGAAAGTTAATGTTTGGACATCTTGTTCAACATCACATTTATCTTGCTCTCCTTCATTTATGAAATACCTGCGAGCTGTTTGAGCCTCTTTACTCTCCCAGTCAATGCTCTCGCACATATGACAGAACGTGCTGTAATTTCATTGTGTGGAGTGAACTCAATTGAATTGGTACCAGGTTTGCTTATCAGTTAGCATAGATCGCAGTTGTTGGTTATTACTCTTTGGACACCAATTAGTGCGAGTTATGTTAGCACAAATAGTCTCTGTTCCCGATAGTCTACGGCCTCCAGAAGCCTGGCAAGGAATATTTTGGCCCAACTGCAAGAATGCTTCCACATATCTGAGGACACTCGTGAAACAAATTTTCAAGCATAAGGCTTACGGGTTTTTAATGATCCGTTTCATCCGGAAACTGAGCCGAGCACGATAACAAGCGGGGAAAGAAATGGTTTTGCTTTCTCCATAGACATCAGTGATTGTAGCCTTAAGCGAGATTGTTCAAGCTTTCTTTCATATTTTTTACCTGATCCGCATCATCTTCTCCAGAAATAAGCTCAAAGGACATTTTCACGGATGATCGGTCGATAACATCACTCTTCACTTGAAATATTTCAAAATGGTTTGTTGGATTGAAATGAAAACGAACTATGTGGACATGTTTGTGTGACATTCTCACGAATAGTCAGATGAAGCATTTTAGAGATAGAAGCAACAGGTAAGACTAATAAGATCAGTATCGGCAGGAACATCTCTTCTCCAATGTAACAGATAATAGAATATATTCAAAGATGAGCTAGAGCGAATCACAATCGGTGAAGCAAACTATTAATGACCTTATTCGTATTCTGGTTTATATAACTGTTAGGCGAGTACTTCGTGTTTCGCTTGACCTGATTTTCAGAGAAAATAATGTTTGCTGAAGCTATTTTGAGCAACATAACTAGTTATTAATAATTGGGAAGATGTTTTCCGTTCATATTCTTTTAAATTAGAGCTTGGAAAGTAGTCAAGTTTTTATTTTATGTGGATTAATCCTCGTAAAGTTCATCATCTTTGGGATCGAATTGACTGACATAATCGAAATCCAACTCCACAACCTTTAAAATGTTCAAAAATCAAACAATCAGGGAAAAACACCTGTCGTTACCTTATTTGAACTCAGCAGCCTGGCAACAATTAAACAATTCCTCTTATCCTTTTCTTCCATAACTGCTATTGAACCGGAATATTTCCCACGCACAACCATCACTCGGTCCCCTTCTTTTCGGGGTATGACCGTTTCCATCCAAGATTGACGTAAATCTAAACAGGACATCACACGATTTTCATGCTAAAAACTATGATCTCACTATAATACATACGACCAGCGTCATCCTCTAAAGAGACGTCTTTCCGGGATGCAACATCAACCACTCTTAACTTTGATCCAAATAAACGTCCTTTTTTGTAATCTTTATCAACAAATCGAACCATAAGGTCGGGTCTAACCCATACTTCGGAATCCTGCAATAGATCGTGGAAGAGTTGACAGAAAAAAATGGCTTACATCAACATAGGACGAACTTTTCTTACTGCTACTACTTTTAGAGTAATCTCTATCCTTATCTTTCTGATAGTCCTTTGATTCTTTTTTCCTTAAACTAGCCTCTATTTCTTCTTTTTTCTTTTCTATCCTCTCCTTCTCCAGGTCATAATCTTTTTTATCTTAATAAACTTTCATAGAAAATAGACAGTGATGGTGACTCACTCAAGCATTTGCTGTCTTGTTCATATTCCTTCTTAGTAACAGCTTCAACAGCAAATAAAGACACCTGAACGATAAAAAATAAAAACAGTAATAGTTGAACAGTGAATCAAACCTTGACAGATGTACCTCCCAACGCTAATCTAACATACAAACTATTGTTATCATCATCTCGAGATTCTACCTATATTATGAACAATATATTATTATAAAAGTTATCAAAGTGTACTTTTCCATAACTCCCGGTCAATCTTCCACTGACAATCTTAATGAGAGAATCTTTCTTCAACTCATTGCTCAACTCTTCATCTTTTCCTTTATCTTTACTTGAGCCTGCCTTTTTCGGTTTTGCCGGGACAGCACCCAAACCTAGCCCCTTCGGCCTCTGAGGAGGGAGCTGTACTTTTACAATCTAATAATAAACTGTCAATAAAAAATTGGTCAAATCTGTAGTTTACCTGGGGATTTTTTCCTATTCCTTCTCCGTCATTCCATCCACAACCTCTTAAAATCGCGAGACCGAATTCTTCGATGGGCACCTTAGATTCTACATAATGTCCAAACTCTTATTTCCAACTTACTAAACTATAGTCAGCGTCTTCAATAACTTTATCATCATTATCGAGAGGAATGGCTACAGCAGGATCTCCACTCTATAAACGTAAAATATGAACAGCAATACACAATAGCTTATACCTCAGACACTTTGAAAGGGTTGGCTTCAGTGAGTAGAGCAAGTTTAGCTCTGTCTTGATCAGTTAGCTTTCCTTCTTTTTCTAAATCAAGCAACTTCTGTACCCTCCAATCATTTTCAACAACCATAGGAATAACTGTTTTCGATTTTTTCTCATCAGAATCTTTTCTACAAGCAACACTATTTATGTTAGCCGTTTTCGAATAAACATACGGGTAACTGCCATCTTCAAAATGTGTGAGTTTTCTTCGTTTTCTTTCGCGTTCACCTGCTTCTAGTTCTCTTTCCTCATCACTATCAACATGAACTGAATAAAAAAATGATTAATTATGTTTCCTTTACTTCGTTTTACCTGATGCTATTTCTTTTGGTACAGCAACTAACTTTACATCCTTTTTTTTTGCCAGACCGAAGGATATTTTTGTTGGCTGAGGTTTTTCAAGACTTTCCTCTACTTCCATCTCATGTTGATCAACCATATCCTTAACGAAACAATTCAACCTACATTACGCATAAAAAGCTTCAAAATTAAAAACATTTGCACAAAGAAATTTTTTTCAAAACATTTTGTGCAATATTACGTGTTCCCTTATTTCTCATGCGACGTCTGTTAGTCACATTTTCTGAGGGGGCCGTACCTAACAGTTCTCTACTGGATGTTAAGACTATGGTATTTGAAGCTGTAAACATTCACTCAGTTAATAATAAACAGAAAAAGTCGTCTCCTAAATTACTCTTATTGATTATTTTTTAACTTTCAAAACAATTATAGACGGAAGTTCTCTTCAACCAAGTATTTCACAACTATGATTCATTCTCTGTTCATGGTTTCGCAATCAATTTTTATATTTTCGTTCATTTTTACTCACTTTTACAAAATATCTTCTACTTCTTTAGTTCTGTTCAGAAATGAATCAAAAGGAAGATTCGGATAGATCTATCGCTCATTCTCCGTCTTCCGACAGCCTTGATTTTGACTTTGAAGTAATTCATAGCAATCTGCATACAAGCAGTGACAGTGGAACGTTACCAAATCCCAATGAACTCCCTGTCCAGCCAGAGGAATCGGTGTATTCTTCAATGCATGAGTATGAAATGCTTCAAGTTCTAGTTATGATAGTCTTTTATTCAGTTCTACTGACAAACTGGCTAAATCTAAACTTCATGAGAGTTTAACCTGCGACGTATGCGTAAACCACGTTTCATCCTTTTGATTTAATTTTTTCAAGCTTTCCCTGAAGAAACCTGAGAACCAAGATGCATGTGCTCAAGCAGGAACCTTTTCTGAATCTGTTTGTACGCCCTCCATCTCATTGCTGAAATTCAGTGGCTCAGACTTGTCCTTCATTGAAACGGTGTTTTTATTTTTTATTTTCGAGTTTTTTAACCAAATCTTTGAAGATGGAACAGTGCGAAGGAAAAAACAAAGTGAACGAGGTGGTACCATGGTTATTATTGACATATTATGTTTTTTTAGGAGAACTTTAATAGTTTAAAAACCGAGTTCGATAAAATTTCGAAGACCTGTGAAGATTTGTTGCAAAGCAACCTCACATTGACTAAAGAAGTGATCACTAGTTTGATGACTAAACTCTAAAAATATTTTAAGGTTGATTTAATCACTGAGAAGTTATCTGCCCTACCCGATTTCAACAAATCAATTAACGATCTGCTTTCTCAGGAACGGTATGAATATAATTTTTGTCTCACTTTAATCATCTCCCATAGGTCCAAACTGGAAAGCATGGCATTCAATCAAGTGCAATCTCTGAACAGCTTCGAAACGCCGGTATTGCAGGACTCGGTGAGAGTCCTAATTTTTTTTCTGAAAGCTTATTGATATTGTAATAGATGAATCTTGATAACATCAAAAGTCAGGAAAATCCTGAAATCCCTCTCCTGTCAGTAATTCAAGCTCATTGTGATTCTTTGGAAGAAATTATGAAGCAAAACAGTTAAGCTTCTAAACATATATACAGACTAAATGAATTTTTAGGGAACAAGTACGAACAAGAACTTATGATGATGAAAAACAAAGAGGAACAGGTAGCTTCACTACCTACCTGGATCACTTAACTTTATGACTGTGTTTTAGTACTTGGAGATGCTAAAAGCTCGTGATGCTGATATTGCTGCGCTACGTGAGCAGATAAAAGACCATGACTTTGGTTAGTCTTTTGTGGTTTTTAGTATAATCGAATGTTCACTATCTCAATTTAGTTTTGAATTATGCGGTTAAAGAAGCTCGTTCTGAAGAGCGCTTGCTTGCCGAAAGCGAGATACAGAGTCTTATCGATGGTCGTGTAAAATCATCAGAAGACGTCGAAGTAACAAAGAACAATTTCTAAATACATACGAATATTTTTTAGTTGCGAGAGCTTAAAGCTCTGAGAGATATGCTCCTTGGGGATATTCAACAGAAAGATATGTACATACTGGATTTGGAAACGGCTATTCGTGTCATTCAGGTGATCAATGTGATTATCCTAAATTCATAAAAAGTTGTTTAAGGAATAGAAGGAAGACATTGATGGTTTTGGCCAAGTCACGCGCATTGTAAATAGTCTTAACCGCATCAATGATATGCAAATATAATCACGATACTAATTTGTTGCTGAATGTTATAATGTCTACTACGTTGAAAACTAATCTGAAATCAAATGTACAAAGTTGAAGAATATAAAGTTTTATTTTAATCTCTGCTCGTCTTATTTGTCATCATTTCAAAGAATTAATTCCAACGCTCAATTCTTACAAATTTTCTTATCACTTTGAAGGATGGCTGGCAATCAATCCGTCCGATTTATAAGTTCTCGATTTGCTTTACCTGGTACACTCGTAAAATCCCTTCCCAATTATGATTACATTTCTTTCAGGCAAACTATTCCACAGAGCCATGTCCTCCGTGCACAATAATTACACCACCTATACCACTACTGAACAGAATGTTGCTGAATCCATTGATATGCGATCAGATACGGTTAGGCTCATTCTGCAGCCGAACATTTAACTCCCTGGTTCTTTCAGGTAACTCAACCTACACAAGCCATGAAAGAAGCTATGATGAACTGTCCTTTGGGAGATGATGTTTATACTGAGGATCCAACCGTAAATAGCTTGGAAAAGAAGTAATTTTTTTTAAACTCAACTCTGAAAACCACTAATGTTGAAGGTGTGCGGCACTCTTTCAAAAACCGGCTGCTCTTTTTGTTGCCAGTGGAACTATGGGAAATCTCATTTCAGTCATGGCTCACTGTCAAAGAGGAGATGAAATCATTGTTGGCAGATCCAATCATATTCACCGGTGGGAACAAGGAAATTACGCTCAGTTAGCAAGTATGGTGGCATCCAAAACAGGGTTCAGCCAGTTTTGCAGGTGTCTCTGCCACAACATTAAATGTAAATGATAAGGGCATGATGAACTTGTCCGAAATGGAAGAATCCATCCGTGTTAATGATTGCCACATGCCCCGAACTAAACTCATATGTCTGGAAACAACTCATAATTATTCGGGTGGAAAGCCCATTCCATTAGAATATTTAAAGTATGGACAGTCTTTGTGTTCAAAATATTAGAAGCCTTTAGGGATGTGCGTCAGTTGGCTGATAAACACCATCTAAAAATTCACATTGATGGTGCTCGTATATACAATGCTGCTGTTGCTATGGGAGTAGCAGTGAGTTTGACTTCAGTGTATTCACATATACCAACACTTGTTCAAGGTCGCAGATATTGCTGCTTATGCTGATTCCGTTATGATGTGCTTTTCCAAAGGATTAGGAGCTCCAATCGGCTCAATATTGGTGGGATCCGAAAGCTTCATCGCAGATGCTAGGCGCATACGAAAAGTACAAAAATAAATAATGTTGTATTCCTAACGATTTCAACTTGAAGGCTCTGGGAGGAGGATGGCGTCAGGCTGGTATTTTAGCATCAGCTGCTTCTGTTGCTCTTGACAATGCTATGCAAACAATTGAACGTGATCATCGACTTGCCAAAACTCTTGCTGATGCCATAAACAACAACACTCCAGAAAATCTGAAGGATGTTAGCTTTAATTTTAAAGTTTACTCTCAAGGATAATATATTTACAGAGTTTATTTGTGGATACGACCAATATCACGAATATGGTTGTACTTCAATGTAAAAACAGAGCAAAGCCCGTAATGGTATGTTACAAAAGATTAGATAATGTCACACGTCAATTTTAAGATTCAAGACTTCTTCCGTCAGAATAACATTTTGGTAATGGCCTTCGATCACTATAGAGTAAGAATCATACCCAATTCGAATGTTTCCGAAAATGATATCGCCAAAACTGTGGAAGCTTATCGCGCTTTCGTCGAAAGTCTATAAGAACATTTTCAAACTAAGACAATTAGAAAATAAAATAGTTTTTTTCAATCGTTTGAATTATTATTCATCTCGAATCTGTATAAATCTGACAGTTTCTATTTGTTAATGTGTAATACATACCAAGAAGAACCGCTTACCACAATTGAACTAAAAAGAACTTGAAATTATGAGTGACGCTTTCTTTTGTCAGAATTTCATTTCTGCAACGCCGCTTGGTGGATGCGGTTGTTCCTCAGCGCTGGCGTATTGGTGAACCGACCATACTTTCATGCGAAATTGAGAAGTAATATTTTGAATATTTGCACAACCATATAGTATTCAATTTCTAAACTAAGATAGTAAGTTTAAGAGTTCTCCACAAAAAAATATTTTTTGAATAGCTATGAAATAAGTTCCGATTAGCATAAGGTTAGATTGAACAACAAGTACTAATTCATTGCCATCATTTATTTATTCAAACCATATATTGATTTTTTGTTGTAATCTCGCTGAATTCAAATTCTGTTCAAGATTTCCTACTACATAAGATGAATTGTAAACCACCCTGGCGAACAAGAATCATAAACTTGAAACGTGATGGTGAAAAGTTGGTTGCCAAACTTAAATTTCCTCATTCAATTCTATTTTTTTCAGCTTCGCATCGCAAGTGAGAGTTAACATATACTATGAACGAGATATTTTGGAAACGGAAAGCCCTTTATCACTACCTTCTTCACCCCCGCAGCTAGATATCGAAGCATATCATGAGGTTGCCTCTACTGGTAAATTTTTGATAGTCAAATTGTTTAGACTCCCCCCTGGTCAGGTCAAGAAGAAGTCGTTGCTAACTCATCTGCAGCTAATCGATTGAGGCTTTCTTCGGAGGTTGATAATCTTTGTAATCTATAAGTATTGGTTATTCAGGCTGGACAGCTAGCCAGTCAACCCGCACTTGTTAACCCATTGAAAAGAAGTAGAACGTTGTCTTCGAATGTTTTAAGATTTGCAACCATAGACGAGATGTCATCGTATTGTGCTCAAAATAACATAACATCAGGGTGAATTATCTTTTCCAATCACAACCTCATTATATCTTTTCAGATGTCATGCATCCAATAGGAACACAAATGCTAGTTCTGATGAAACTGACGGTGAACTCAACATGGATGGTTCGTATTGTTTTGTATAACCAATAACAGCTGTTTCTAGACTTTGATCAAAAAAACTTCGTTATTTCTATTGACGAGGAATATGCTTCAAAATCTCTCGAGGTTTTGATTTTGGCGTTTCGATTAATTAGAATCTCTTCCAGTATGTTTCCCAGCAAAATCGTAGTGGTAACAGCAGATCTCGTTTTTTCTCGCCTATGTGTATGTCAGTTTGTCGAGTTTGTAATATGGCAATACCCAATCAGAAAAAAAAGCAGCACATATACACGTAATGTAACTTTCTCTATAATCAATCTCGAGAAAAAAATTTCAGTAGTCATCTCAAAAAACCTCTTTTCCGTTGCCCTTTGTGCTCATTTTGCAATCTGTATCATAAGGCAAACGTTGAAATACATATAAAGCGCAGACATGGAGTGCACGTATGCTATTTCTCAGTTATTTTTGAGTAATTCCATTTTAGTTGAGACCCATATCACTCAAAGAAGCATATGCAAAAGATATTGATACATGGCTCTATATGTAAGATCGACGCTTGTGCTCTGAATGGTTAGCTATTTTAAGATGTTTCGCTGATCGGAGGATTTTACGTTGCATTGATCCCGATGTCACCCAGGTTGTTTCTGATTTGGTTGATTGGGTAGCAGAAGGACGTAGCCTATCTAATATAACTTCTATTGACCCTTCTACAATATCTATAATTTCTAATGAAACAAATGGTGAGAACAGATGTAACACTTATGAAAAATGAAAGTTTTTTCAGCGCTGTTTGATCCTCAGCAAATGCCTGAAGATCTTCTCGAGCCTGATTCTTCAGATGTACAGGAAGAAGCAAGAGTAGATGACTCTATTGCTAAGCTAAAGTGCCAGAATACATGTAGCATGTGCAAAATGGCTAACGTCCGACATATGGAGCGGCACGTTCTGCAAGTAAGAAGTTTGCTAATTCATATGATAAGCTCTCGGAAATATGAATTTAACTTTCTAATTGGAAAGAAACTTCCTGGTCAGAAAGAGCGGAGATGTTTTGGTAAATGTATAGTCTCATACTCGCCGAACGGTTGCATTCCAAGTCTTAATTTTGATATGATTAATGATTGTTGCAACGCTATTTTTTTCAGCATCATGTACGATTGCCTATGTTTCTGTGTCCTTTTTGTCCTTATAGTAGTAATTATGCAGCAAGTAGCGTGAAAGATCACATACGGGTAAGGATGAAGGCCTGTTGAATTTAATAACTTCTTCTAGGTGAAACATAGTCTAACTGAGCAAGCGCAACCAATTGATCTTAGGGATGAACACTGGATACATATCAGAAAGGTTTATGATCGATGCTTTTCTTCCCCTATATTCAACCACAATTTGAAAAAAGACAAACCTAATAAGTATAGAATTCCTTTTGTGGGGAAATAATATTCACCATCTCACACTAAAACGGGTATATTCATAATTTTAATGTACTATCAAAAAATAAACTTGTATACTGAAGGTTTAAACTTTAAATTTATTGACAGCAAGAAAATTCGTATAAGAAAATAAATAATGGGTTCAACCGGTATTTACTTGTAAAATTCGAAATCGTTTTGATCTTTTTTCATTACGTTCTTGTACGCTTTCTCAAAATCTTTAGTCAAGACAATATAACGATTCTCCCGAACAGCGTGCATACCAGCCTATTAATGAATAGATGAGCTGTTACATATCTAAAATGGAACTGACCTCTTGACAAATCGAATTAATGTCTGCTCCAGAGATTTTTTCAGGACGAGCAACAAAATCTTCGAGATCTACATCATCAGAGAGATTCATTCGGGAAGTGATAGTAGTAAATACAAGACGCTTCTGTCTTCTAAAACATTTCTACTTTCAACAGATTTCCTTTCAAACACCACCTGTCCGGCAATGGGAACTCAATCTTGCGATCCAAACGTCCCGGACGAAGAAGAGCAGGATCAAGGGTATCTTGTCTGTTAGTAGCCATGATAACCTAGATTAAATATTATGTTTGGAAAAAAAATCTTTTTGATACCTTAACGTTAGTACTTTGATCGAAACCATCCATTTGATTAAGGAGCTCAAGAAGAATACGCTGTACTTCTCTGTCAGCTCCAGTCTGAGCATCAAAACGTTTTGTAGCAATAGCATCGATTTCATCAATGAAGATGATGGATGGAGAGTTTTCCTTAGCCAAACGGAAAACGTCACGAACCATTCGAGGACCTAAATGTGGGTAAAATTTCATACTTTTCCAAACGGAGAAAAATACCTTCTCCGAGATACTTCTGTACGAATTCAGATCCTACAACACGGATAAAAGAAGCAGCAGTATTAGCAGCAACCGCTTTAGCCAACATAGTTTTACCACAGCCAGGAGGACCATACATCAACACTCCTCTGGGGGGATCAATACCAATCTCAAAATAAATTCATGCAAACATAGGATTCACAGAACTTACTTGTTGGTACAATTCACCATGTGTAAGTGGTAATTCAACAGCTTCGCGAACTTCTTGCTTTTGCATATCCAAACCTCCAATGTCTGCATAGGACACATCTGGTTTTTCATCAGCTCTTAACATCTTAAGTTGATAATATATATAACAGTAATCGAGGAATCGTGAAATACTTGAATCGAGCTGTCGGCTTCTGGTGGTAGTACGTCAACTAATGCATTAGAATACTTGTGAAGAGCAACAGAACAACCGGGTTTGAGTAGCTCTCTATCCAGAATTGATAGAACACGAACATAATAGTTAGATCCTTGAAGGCAACAATTTTTGTACAAACTGCAGAGAAACAGTACCTGTTGTGCTTCCCACAATTGCGTGATCTTGATCGACAGCTTCCAAGAATTGACCAATAACGAGGGGTACCGATTGAATTCTTTTAACCTGTTCAAAATACAATTAATAATACAAGCTGCTATTTACGAACCTCCTCTTGAGCATGAAGCAACTCTTTCTCCAGGTTTCTGGTTTCCAATTTTATGTAGTCCTCCATTACTTGTAAGTGCTCAAGTTGCTTCTCGAGCCTCTTGAAGCTTAAGATGAATCAAAATTAAACAAGACTATATACTATTCTTACTTGACATAATCATCCTGCTCAGATTCAACTTCTTTGCCTTCAGGAATCTTCGCCTGCAATATTTGCTTGAATTAGTAACTTCATTACTATCATTACCATTATCTCAATATCTTGAAGAGCCGTAGCCATCCTGTTAATTCTGAAGATAATTTGAGGTTAAAAGGAATAGATTAATGTTCATATAATTAAAAGAAACCAAATGCTTACAAAAAATGGGCACTGCTAATGTACGCAATGACAAGCGGAGTACAGAATAACGGCTACCGTAGTCTTATAATTCTTTGGCGCCAATGGCTAGAGTCTTCTAAAATTGGTAGTTAGCAAAAACTAGAGTTTATTCGAGATATTAAATAAGTTTATTCAAAAATCAGCCGAAGCTGTTCATTCTTGATGGCTTACAAGCAGTTTAGTTGGAGAACTGCTCGTAGGTTCTATTCAGCTAATAAACATTTGGTTTGTGAAGTTGAAAATTCGTTAAAAACTTCCATCAGTTCAGAGAAATAGTAAAGCAGTAGAATTAAGTAGAACAAGGAATATTGGAATAATTGCGCATATAGATGCTGGCAAAACCACGGTAACAGAAAGATTACTATACTTGGCAGGAACTACTAAATCTATGGGAGATGTAGATTCTGGTAATACCGTAACTGATTACCTAGATATAGAGAGAGAAAGAGGTATACAACCTTTTTGAATGAAAACTTGACAAAAGTACGATCAGGCATCACAGTACAATCAGCTTCCGTTGCTTTCAATTGGAATAATCACAAAATAAACTTAATAGATACTCCAGGGCATGTAGATTTCACAGGTGTGTTGGATGATCAAACGAGTTATGAAGATCTTTATTTTAAGTCGAGGTTGAAAGATGTGTTAGAGTTCTAGACGGTGTTGTCACTATCATCGATTCGAACGCTGGTGTGCAGGTTCTTTCTAAATTCGAATAGTCTTTATCATGCTTCATCTTAGGCTCAAACTTTAACTGTTTGGAAACAGGCTTCCAAGTTTAACTTACCATCAATCTTTTTTGTTAATAAGGTTGATAAGAAAAACTGTAACTTCAACAGTGCTGTTGATTCCATCGAGCAAAGATTGGGGATGAAAGGTTTGTTCAAATCTGTGTCTTGTCAACGTTTCTGTCTTCAGCTTTGATAACCATAGAGCCTATGGAACCGAAAGGTCATATTTCTAGTATAATAGATGTTCTAAAAGGAAACGTTTTAACGTTAGATAAGAGTTCCAAATGGAAGAAGATTGAGGTTTTTCGCTCATATCAAACTACCGCTCTAACGCACACTTAAGAAATCGACAGCAGAGTGGGAGAAACTTTGTAAAGCAAAAGAAAATTTACTGTATGGAATTGCTGATTTGGATGAAGATTTCATGTCCTTGTTCTTGGACAAAAAAAGTGGAAATGTTGATAGTATTGCACAAGAGGACGTTCTCAATGCTTTGCGGAAGCTGAGCTTTTCACGAAAAGGAGTTGTGGTCTGTGGTGGTAGCGCTCTTAGAAGTCCTCAAAGTGTTCTACCGCTTTTAGATAGTGTGAGGCTCTGTTTCACATTGCCTCAAGATATGAATTTTCAGACTATAGCGTTTCTACCTTCCCCTGAAGAACAAGTAGAACAACTCAGATCTGTTTTCCAAGATGAGTTCTCAGCTTTAGTTTTCAAGGTATGATGGGTGTGCCGTAGTACACTGTATCATAGAGGTTCAGATTTTACATGATAAAAGAAAAGGACAGTTGAGTTACGCTCGCGTTTATACTGGAGAGTTGAAAAACAACACCTCCGTCTATAATCCTAATCGCGAAGTCTCTGAAGGACCCCTTAGGGTAACTATCTATTAATTCTACACGAGTGCAATAATTTATCTGAAATCAAGCTATTTGAACCTCAAAGTGATGAGTTGATCTCGAAGGATACTATACGTACAGGGGATATCATTGTTATTTCTGGACTAAAGCATACAAAAACAGGAGATACATTGTTATTAAGGTAAGGCTTTCTCTTTATGAATGTGATAAACGGTGATTACCAGTGAGAGTACATCGAGGAGGGCTTTGGAGAATTTGAACTCTTCATCTATCAACCAGCAATACTCTGTTTGTAAAGAAGGAAGCCAAGCCGTTTTCTCTGGTAATCTTTATTTGTAAATCCGTCATAATGTTAGGTCTATAGGAATTGACTTCCCAGAGCCAGTGTACTTCTGTTGTATCGAACCTCCAACAACAGCCTCCATTCATGAATTTGAAAAAGCTCTGTTAGAACTAAGTGTTGATGTAACTTAGATTTTTATTTCAATCTAGTATAGAATAATGTTTTCAGGATCCTTCTTTAAAAGTTCGAAGAGAGTCAGATACTGGCCAAACTGTGATTGAAACAATGGGGGAGCTTCACCTTGAAGTAATAAAGGATAAATTCAAGCGATTTTATGATCTAGAAGTTTTCCTCGGACCATTGCAGGTTTTGTAACACTTTATTCTTTACCTTTGCTTTGTTAGATAGCTTACAGAGAATCAATTCAATTTTCATTGGAGCACACAGCGTGTGTAGAGGACGTACAAGGCGACAAAGAGAGAAATCATACTGCCTCAATAACTCTAGTGGTGAAGCCTACTCCCAATCAAGGAGGTTTCAAAAATGTGAGAGTTTACTTGATTAATCGAAAAATCCATCTCCTCAAGATCACTCTCGATTTACCTCCTGGGACGAGGCATCCAAGACCAGAGTGGCTCAAAGCAATTAAAGAGGGATGTTCTAATGCTCTTCATAATGGCCCAATCTTAGGTTTCGCCGTTCAAGATGTTTCAGTATCTCTAAGAGAACTGACTGCCAGTGGAGGAAAAGTTAATCCAGCAATCAGTAAGAGAGATACTAATAAATCATAACTTAATTCATCGTTAAGTATCCGCTTGTGCTCATAAGTGTGTCACCGAAGCTCTATCACTTGCAGGAGCATATTTAGTTGAGCCTGTCATTCGCACCGAAATAACTTTAGAGGGAGGAGAAGGAATGCAGAATCTTTTACAGGATCTGTCTCGAAGAAGAGCTCAAATTGAAAAGTGTGAAGGAGTTTCAGGTGTTTTTACTACTTTTTCTTATGGTAATCTGTTATTTAGGGAGCCAGTCTCTTATTGTTGCTAGTTTACCGTTAGCAGAAATGCAAGGTCTTTCAAGTGTCGTCCGCATATCAACTTCGGGCATGGGCTCACTTTCAGTACAGGTATGCATGATAAATAATTTGTATGTGCATTCGTGTCAAGGTTGCCGGTTATTCAACTGTATCGGAACAAGAGCAATCGGCCATTGTAGCTAAGCTTACGGGTAAGTGGTAAGACATAGAGAGTAGATAACTAGTATTGTTATATTTGTTAAATCTGTTATTCTGTAGAGCTTTTGAATAAATTGTTTTTGCACAGTTTCCGCGTTGCTGAGAGCTTACTTTCACATGAATTCGTTCGACATATTTTGTGTTTTTGAAAAATCTTTGGGAAACTCGAATTTCAGATGTTGAGTGATATAACCTTCTTGATCTATGGAAGGAGGTATCCTCCTCCTCATGGTAGACCGGCAATTTTTTTAACTGGATTAATGCTTAATGTTCTGAGGATCAAACCCATCCGTCGAAAAAACAAAGGGGTAGAGTGATACTGATAGTTCATCTCATGAATCTTCTCAATAGATTTCCTTAGAAGAACTGCGAAATGGTCTAGACATCAGGATTGATTGCATTTTCGCAAATCAGAGAGCGTTAGCGGAAGTGCTTCGTAAATATATCGGTTTAACTATTATCATCTCTAGTAACTTCATCAATGACTGGTTTTCAAGATAAACTGATTGATGTTGATGCATGTATTGCTTATTTTGTGCTGGTGGCTCTCCGTCAGCTCCGCGACGATCTGTTCTATACTACTTCTTGTGAATTTGCTCTAAAACAAAATTTGGTAAAATTTTCTACTTCGATATGGCAAACGTTTTTTGGTAGATTCGCATGCCGTTTCCGTCTGAAGACGACGAGCTTCAGTCAGTTTATAAGCTACCTTTTCTGCTTACTAATACACTACAACCTTTGCCTTTCGACTTGCACTCGGTTTTGACCGAACGCTTGTGGGTCATCGACGAAATGGAGCCTGGTTTTCTAATAGACTAATGATTATTAAAATTGCTATATTTAAAGAGTCACCACCGAAAAGTGTTCCTTGGGATGAGAACGGAAGATTGACAGACTCGTTCAAGAAGTTAATATTTGATGATTCATTACGTGTTATAGATCAGAACATTCTGAACAGCTCAGAAGTTAATATTTGTAAGATATTTAAGAAAAATATTCATAATTTCCGTGTTATAGCAATCTTATCCTTTACTAAGCAGGAAGTTATCCAAAATCTTATGTTTCTTTACACTGGAATTAGTTCAGAACTATTCAATGCTCAAGAACAGGTATACTTATCTTGCTGCTATTCAATCTCGGAATTACAGAACTCTGGATTCATTCTACCGAGCTTTGTTGAAGTGCGAGACCAGATGGGATTTGGAATCAAATTCTCGCACAGTATGTTACAGATGCATTTGGAGCTGGGTAATAAGTTGATGGACACGAAGAAGAAGTTCCTAGCCCAGTACTGCGTGGGATGTGACGAGGTTTTCAGAAATGCTGTACTTGACGAGATGGAAATGTTCAGGTTTGATGTTTCTGTGAATACTATTGCAGTACCTGTTTCCAGTTCGTTCCTTGCACAACAAATAACTGATCTCAGCACATTCTACGAAAAACTAACTCAGATAATTCATTACGTTACCAACTTCCTCGGATTCGTTGGTATTTGCGAGAAATTGCTACGCGAACAGCTTTCAGCCACAGAAGTTTCTACTTTTCTGCAATTCAACCTGGCGACTTCCTTGGAGTTTGTTAATGATATAGCTTCTCGAGTTCTCAGAAAAGTGAACATTCATATCGTGAAGTCGTTTCCTTGTCAATTGAGTTGGTTAATGTTGAAAGTTTCAGATCATTATACTTGTTCACTGAAAAAGGTCTTATAAACTTTGATGAAGGAGTCATAAGCAATAAGGAAAACGGCAGCTGTAATTCAAAAATAGTGTACGACTTTCACTCACCACGTCTATTTCAGATTTCGTAAGCGTTTCTAATTCTGAAATACTTTTCATAAAGCCTACAGTGCTGATATCTGAAAACCTTTGTTCTAACATTCTCTGGTATGGAGCGATCATGAAGGAAATCGCTCATGACAATAATCTACGTTATCCTGAGTTATACGAGTTGCAAAAAAATGTATCTCTATTCCTTTTCATGATTACAATGATTGATCATTCTATAGGTCCGAGACTCAAACACGTTCATCGGTCAGTTCTTGAAAGACTTTCTAGCGGAGCATGAAACAAGAATACTCGATTTGACTTACATTTTCGAAGTATTTTCTCGGTAAGTCTTAACCCCTTCGAGGGAACAACCGAACTCCACGTCATAGGAAACATAAATAGATTTCAAGACATTCTCATTTACAGGAAAAATTCTCAGTCTAAGCTGTTCTCATATATGAGGAATGAAGTCAAGATTGCGGCTAACATTATGTACAAACTGTTTTTGCATCGATGTCAAGTTTCAGAGAGGTGAAATTACTGTCAAGGGATGAAGAGTTTACACGATTCTTCGTAGAAAAGTTCTAGGATCAGTTCAGTATTTCTGTCCCGACCTTCCATCGGAATATCAATCCGCTATCAGTGCTGGAGGTACTGATGGAAGACGTTTGGCGGTTACGTTGTCGAAGATTGTTTCTGTCGTCATCACGGAGAAACATCAGCACGGTTATGAAATTATAGGTGAAGGACTTCAGAAGATTTTCAGCGGTTTTGACGCTATCATCCATGTAAGAGATAGCTGTTTTTTGTGAAACATATATTCAGCTTTCAACTCGAAACCATTACTTGTTGCCTGGTGAAGACCGCCGTGCTTTCTATTACAAACACGTTATGGACCGTGTTCTAAGCAATTTGATATCACATACATATCAAACCGTGAACCCTCTGTGGGAAACGTTCAACGTGAGTTGAACAGAAAGGCAAATGAATTGGCTTCATTCTTTCAGATGGAGTTAGACAATGCAGATAGCGTGACAGCTATGATCGACTCCCACAGGTATAAACTTATTGCGTTGGCGTTTCATAATGTTTTCAAGGCGTTTCATCAGGGAAGTCCGAACTAACACGATTTTCCATATTGTCTTCACAAACAAAGCCTTCAGCTTTGTGACAAAGGTAAAATCAGTTCATCATTGATCTAATTTCCATCTCCTAGATGTGTGAAAGTTGCATTTTGTTCGCCACAGCGTTCAATCAGGGAGATAGTATGACATTACAGAACCATTACCAAGAATTCCGAGCAAACTTAGATTTGCTTTTAGATGGTAAAATTGAAAGACATTGATCTGATAAATAATTTGTTTCAGTTCTCGAGACTGGAGATTTCAAATTTCAACCACTTTGTGCAATGCTTGGACGATTTGTTTTGTCAAAGTCTAAGAATTACATCAAATAATTTATTTTTAACCTCAAGCACCTGTTTTCAACATTTTCCGGGTTTACATCACTTCTCATTGTCATAATATAATTTCATAATAATATAAAAGATTTATACAATGATTTGATATCAATGAAAGCTATCAGAAGTACAATCACCGGAACCAAAATGTATTTCTCGGGCCACGTAAGGACCTCCTGCCATTTTCTAATCAATAACGTTATGAGTGAAACGTTGATTATACTTACAGCTAAATCCAGTTTAAAATTCTTATTGATGGTCATCTCATTGATACCAATGTCAATGCGTAAAATCTGTCCTCCAATACTAAGTAATCGAGATCTTAGAGTTTCTGAATCATTGAGCAAACCTTGAGAGCTCCGGATAAAACTGAGCATCCCACACTTTGTAGGCCGAATTGGAAACATATAGACGACGTCCATCTAAGCTGAGCTGCAAGCTTCCTGGTCCACCTCTAAAACCAGGAGCTTCATTATTACTCTACAATTATTCAAACTGTTAGTGGATACTTTCACGAATACACCTTCTCGATCTCTAAATGATTATGTTCCGGCTGAAAACTGATTCCTGGTTGACTAGCCAATATTCCCCCCACATGGATCTACACAAATATTTTTGAACGAAATAGTTTTTAAAATGATATCATTCAAAGAAACAGGTAGTGTTTCGTGAGTGAGCGAACGATACCAAGGTAAAACTGAAGTACCTTGCATGATAATGTAATCCTAAAAGGATCTGATATGTCGAAACGCCAAATGTACCCATGTAACCACCCGGCGACATAGAGCCAGCGATCATCCAGCGAAATAACACTATCAGTAAGCATTGCAGGTATTTCATTACTGATCCAATTAGTTACCTAATTCAATGGCGAGTGAAAAACAAATGTAAGATCTATACTTTATATGGAGGGAACGTGAGGATATGATCAGCTGACCATCGTCCAGTAACAGACTCCATGTGTAAATGAAAAATACTTCCACCTAGTGCTGAACATACGAAAGCATGATTACAATCTGCATTATGCAAAAATCTGAAACAGAGAAAAAGATGTTTCGAACTTCGAGCCAACAAACTGACCGCACAGAAGTTGTGAACTGTGCGTATCTGGGGTCTAACTCAATTGTTTGCTTGAGAACCCCTGGGGCTATTTGCCATATGTGTATAGAAGTACCGAAACTTGTTGAAACTGTAAAACTGATGTGTACACTATAAAACTTCTACTATGAACCATTTTCAAGATCGTCAACTGATAAACCATTTCGGAATATTCTTGGGTGTCCCCACTCACAGCTTATAAGGACGTTGTGACGAGTTTGAAGGCAAAAATCTCCTCCATAACCACTGAAAGTGTCTGTTTTCTTCCTGGTTCGGATGTCAAAGGTCTTCTTATCAAGTAGCACAAAATCTCCTAAATACGTTGTTCGAATCGAAGGAGACTGTCTGAATAAAACCTTTGGCATGTCCTTCACGATCCCCCATAGTTGAAATATGAACTGGAGCTCCATTTATGGGTAAAGTGTGAACAGAGTATGGAGTAGAAACATCGCGACTGAGAAGCTCACTACTCCGTATGACCTTCAAAATAAATCAAGGGTTTTCTGAAGACTACAAATATGGAACCTTAGCTATACGTAATGTTTTTCTGAAAACTTCAACAACATAAATGCGATTAGAGTTCATACACGGAACAATCAGATGTGTTCTTTCCACCTGAAACAAATGAGGATAACATACACTTCGTACCAATCTCATTGATCCAGTCAAACCGAAGTTACATCAGACAGACTCGTTGCTGAGCGAGCCCAGTTCATTCGACCTATCTCCTCTCCTTTCCCCAAAGTTATTTTGTTAATAATCTAAAAACAAGTGAACAAATCTCACTCACTCACATACTTGGCCATAAGTTAAGTTACTCTCGTTTAAATCAATCAAAGCTATGAAATCTTGATTATATCCAATAGTATGGCAGAAGCTGATAATACCGATGCTTTCGGGCTCATAATAATTCTGGCAAAAAGTATAAAACTATGATAAATTTGTTTTTGGTGAAGAGAACCTGGGCATAATCATACAGAGTATGAGCAGCTTCTACTGCAGGCGTCTCTTCGTCAGATTCCTTTCTGTAGCTAGGTGGTAGTTTTTCCATATAAATTCTGACTCTCTCTTCCTTACTCTGGAAACATGATGAAAATCACGGTTGATACAAGTTGAATATGATAAAGGCCGAATATCCATTTAAATCGTTACCAAACAATAACCCATGATAGATGAATGTTAATAGATTATAAAGAAGAATAAAAAATTTCGTGGATTTTTGTATTTATTAATAGATAAACTGAAAATGGTAAAAGAGGCGGCCTTCTGTCGTAAAGCTTCTTAAATCACTTTAGGATAATCTATCCATTTGAGCTAATTGCTTACATGCAGATGTCACAAACATCAGATTATTATATATATGAAAATGAATTCTCATATTTCGAATGTTACAAATTCTAATATATTTTAGAGCGACCTGATCAACTGATTGTAGGTTATGAACGAACCTATGCACTTAAGGTAACGAAGAACACATCCCACAATAGAGCCTGTCCCATTGCTTCGTTTTCTGTTCAACCCATCAAAGGCAGAATGTTCATTGGCTCAGCTTATGGAGTTTCCTCGTTTTCCAAGAACACAACACTCCTTGATGAGGGTGTAAAGATATGATAAGCTGATAAACTTCAGTCTCGGATATTTCTACAAACTGAAGTTTTGCTGAGGATCTGATAATAAAATAACTGAGAATGGAGGGGTGAGGGATTGCATTACTCTAGAGGTGTCTTGTCACACAATCTGTCTAGTTGAAGTGAGAACAGTGAGCTATCGAAGTATTGGTTAAATCTTCGTTCTGCTAGAAAAGGTAAAATGATACTCTCACATGTTTGTTGAAACATTTCGCGTCACTGGTTACAGGTGTTCATCGTTCTATGTATGCGATTGGCAGGAAAGGTAGAGAGGAGTGGAATAAGCATGACACACTGATGTGACTGTATCTTAGGTGCAATCGGATCAGGCTCCTATTCTTCACCATTCTTTCCGAGAAGTTTCATACATGACTCATACATGTTTAACAACCTATGTATCTCAATACTGCTGAACCAAACACTTGGGTGACTTGGGTGGGATCTGCAACAGCCAGAAGCAGTAAATCATTGTATAGCTAGTGATGAACTTGCTGATACGAGAATTGCATGACTGAGATTACAAACAGTTGATTGAATGAGCATGTCGTGCCCTTTTGCTCCAACTATTACATATATTATAAAATTGTTTAACAGTTTCTGTGTTTGTAAAATGATCCAAGATCTCAGGTAATCGAATATGTTTTGAAGGAATTTATAGGAATTCTTGTTTTTACTTCAAAACTTCAACTAATTTCTGGATGATCTCTTTTGCAGCGAAGCTCTTTTTAGCTTTTCGTTTGCCCTAAAGCAGACTCTGAAGACATCTGGGCCAGCTTAATCCTTTTCCTCTCATTCTTACTATGTTTATCCTTCTTTTTCGTTTTTTTTTCATTTCCAAATATTGTGAGAGACAAGGCGAAACACTTTTTTGTTCTTCTCGCCACATTCAGCAGATGTTATGCTTTCCTTTTATAAACTATTCTACAATGCTAAGTTTATCTGAAAGTTTTAAAATTTTTCAACTTTTTCTGGTTTCTGCTCTCATCCAATATATATATTATAAATTCAAATAAAAATATAAAATATTTCTGTTACTTATCTTTGCGGTTATCTCAGCATATGACACCTGATCGTTGGCATTTGTTGGTCAATTAGCTCTGTGTACCTCATCTGACATCTAACACGCTTTTAAAGATTATTTTGTTTGCAAAAATATTTTTTCCATTTTTTTTTCAAAAAAAAAAATAACAACAACTTTCTATTCGTAAAACGCTCATCAAAATGTTTGAAACAGCTTTTCGGACCGTTTTTTTCGAGGGACTACATCTCGTTTTCCAAAACGATTGTGCTGTTCTCATCGCTTTGTGATTTCTGTTCATTTGTGGGCAAAAAAACAGAAAAAAAAGTGAACAAGTTCAACGTTTTCAGCGTAATCTTGCTCATTCATCTGCTCACTCTTCGGTGAGCATTGAAGCCTGCATGGTAGTTTTCTTTGAGAAGCTCATTCGCCTTTTCTTTTTTTCTTCATATTTTGAATTCTTCTCTATTCACACGTCATTTTTTCATCAAACTTCTTGAGGCTTTTCATCATTTTTTCTCTTTTTTTTTTCAACTTTGCTGCTGTGAAGAGAATTATCTTCTCATTCACCTGTGAGACTTCTTCGACACCATCCTTTCAATAAATAAACGACAGTTGTTCTCTGAAAAAGCTTAAGGCGTGACCATTCTGTTCATATAAAAAGGACTTTTGAAAAAAATGTTTTAAAAGGGATTCTATTTTATGAAAGTTTTTTCATTTTTCTTCTCTCATGATGATCGAGTATAGAAGAGCATCTTCATTCACCTCATTTTCATCTCAATTCATGAAATGTCTATTGAAAAGCTAGCTGTGTGTCACTTGATGAACATCTTGTTTATCATTATATATTTTGAGAGTCATTCCATCAATTGAAATCAATACAAGTTCATTCTACTCTCATTTTTTACCGCTTATACTTGTTATATCATTTGATTGCTTTCTACTTTATCACATCTACATTGCTGTTCGGAAATGTAACAGAAAACGCTTTTAATAAGCATTGTTAGATTGTGTTTTCCATCTTCCATACTCTTGTAGCTCAGTATCAAAAACATATTTGAGCCTATGCTGGTTAGCATAAAACCCTTTGTTTCATTTTAAATGATTGTTGTTAGACTGTTAAGCTGACTGCTCATTAGCATATCAGCCCTTAGTATGATATACTTTGATTCCTTTCTTCATTCGAGTCATGTGAATACGGACAGAACGGTTGTTTTCTACGTTGCGATAGTTCAAGTTCAAGAATGCTTCGACATGCCTGATGTTGCAGAGGAAGATAGAAAGTGGAAATAGAAGGAAAGCTTGTTGAGTAGCATCTATTGTTCGTCAATGTATCCCAGGCTGTCAAATTTTTCTGTTAATAAGTAAAAAAAAAAGAATGATAGTAGTAGGATATTCAAGTATAGCTTGTAGCATGTTATGACGATGTGCTCATCATCTTATTTTCTTTCTCTCACATAATGTATTAATAATAGATTCTAATATCTTTATATAAGCAAGCAGCTGTAGTGCGACAGTTCATTCCATTCCGCATCTTCTTATGGTCTAAGCTCCTTTTTGACTTCTTCCCCTCTATGAAGCTCTGGCACATAATGACAAATTCAAAAAAGAAACATCAACAGAATTTACTAGTGATTAGAGTTCTCTAGTATGCCCTCGAGCGAATGCTAGACTTAAAGCTTAAAACGAAAAATTCTTTTGAAAATGTCTCTCAACACCCCATTCACCAGATGCTTCAAACGATTCTTATTCATTTGGGGGCTGTCAATTTCAACCAATGTTTCCTTTACTGATTAAACAGTTCTCAAATTCGTATAGAAACAAGAGCAAAACTTCAAAGGTTCAACTCTTAGTTTTTATTTTCAGATGAAGCAAATTTATTTTTATTTTCACAGTTTGTAAAGTAATTTTAAGAGAAATTTTCAAAAAAAAAAAGAAAAAGAAGAAAATGTTTCGGAGATGCGAAGGATGAGGACAAAATGTGACAAATGAATGAGTTTTTTGGAGAAAAAACGAAGCTTCATCACCTCCTTCTGGTGTGGATCAGCTTGTCACCATTCTGTCTTCATCTGGCTGCTATGAGCTGCTCATCTTTACAAAATAAAATGAGTTTTTTTGTTCCCTGCAGCTGATGATGAGAAGAGAATGAGTACGAAAAAGCCTTATGAAGAAGAATTTTAGTGCCCTCAGGCAATCAGATTTGTGTTTTTCGAAAAAATGATGATAAGAAGCTAATGATGTTATCCAATTATTTCCATTTATAAGCTATTTATTGTTGTTTTTTTAAGCAGAAACGATGGATGAATTTGAATGATAACTTTGCCTTATTTGGGCGAACTGAGATAGACGAGATAACTGCTTGTCTCTTCTTTCTCTCTCCCTTTAATCTCTTCCTCTTTATAAATGCTTTTTCTCTTCATAATATTCTGTTCTTTTTTTCCTCTTCATTTTCTCCAACCCTTTCTATGCTTTATCCCTTTACTCTCCTCTCTTGAAGCAATCATCTACCTTCAACGACTACATGTTGTCAAGAGTTGAAAAAAAGGAAAAAAAACGAAAATCATCACTCCTGCTTAACTAGATAAAAAACGTTTTGAATGGGAATTTCGCTTCTTGTTTTATCAAATTTGAAACGAAAAGTCTGTACAGAGGAGAGACATGTTGCATTCAATCAACCTTGTTTTCTCAGATAATCTTTTATTTTCTATAAGGAAGAGAAGGAAGTATGCGGAATTTGTTGTTTCATTAGAAGACTTCATCCTTCACTCATACACTCCCTCTCTCTTCTCCTCTCTCTCTCTGTCTCTTTCCCTCTCTTTCATCTTCTGCCTCTCTCTCTTTCTCTCTGTATGACAGATCAGTGTGTTCAGTGAACTGTCTCATCGTTTGTTATACGTCCAGCTTCTCTTACTTATTCGTTTTGAACGAAAAACAAATGGAAGTGATACTCTCTGTTTGATAACAAGCTTTTATGGAAGCTAAAGTTCTTGAAAAAGTTTGGAAAAAAACCTTCGAACCTTCCTCTTCTTTCTCCACCCCCGCTCTCTTTCTTTTTCTTCATCGCCCTCACTGCATACCCTCATTCCCTCTCTCTGTGATGTATACATACACGGATACTTCCATAAAGAGACTTGTTTTTCTTTCTCTCCTTTCATTTCTCCAGAAATATAATTTCCGAAATTCAGCATTATGTTAAAGAAAATACTTTAGAAACCTTACTTTTAATTTTTTTTCCTTACAGTTTGTGCGTTGCGAAAAATTTTGAAATGAATTATGTGAGTATTTGGAATTGAAGCAGATTGACATCAATCAACACTTGCTATTCTTTTCTTGTTTTCTGAAATTTTTTCCTTCTTCCTTTCATTCTTTCCCTTTTATTCCTCTTTTTTTTCTCTCTCAGAACCTCTCCTATTCTCTCCACTCTTCACTTACTCTTGTAACGTAGATAACCCTCGGGGTATTCATTTTGGTATTTGCTGCTCCTGCCTCTTCTCCAGCAGCTGAAGCCAAGGGACGAGTGTGGAATCAAAAAAACAAAAACCAACTGAAATGAACGTGAAATATGATGAGCGATAATCCTACGCAGGCTGGACTCATCGGCTCAACTTAACATCACCCTATAAATCAAATTCAAATTTAGGCATTCTTTGAATCATTTTTGTTTTCTGTTCATAGGACCTCCGCTCTCTTTTGTATATTTCTGATAAATAAAAGCAGAAACAAAGAAAGCCATTCTATTTCCGAACAGAGTTCCCTGATCGAAACATTACTGATCTGTTTTTTTGGTTTCTCAAACTTATATTTCACATGCTTAATCCTCTACTTCACTAGGCCAAGATGAGCTCCGTATGGTTTCGTGAGCTTTCAAGGGTTTTCCATACGGCTTCCTCATCCTCCAGATAATTTCTTGTTTTTTTCCGTTATTCTCTCAGATTATGTCCACAAACTGCTTTTTAACATTGAAAACTGTTATCGTTACGTCATTCGATGACGTCAACGCCTTACGTGAAACGTCAAAACTTCATTTTCACTTTAAGACGAATAACGAGTGGTTGTGCTATCTCTCTAGGAAGTGTTTAAATCAAAAAGTTTCGTATTATTGTAATTCTGCATATTAATTGATTCTTGAAAAATGCATTTGCATACGCCTCAACGGCTTTTGACTTTTTTCGTTTGGTCACAAAGGTTCTTTGACAGCTAGTTCAACAAAAAAATTGGTTAAAATTACCTCTCTCTCTCTTCTCAAGCCATTCTCATTCTCACTTCCAATCTCTCCATCGGTTCTCTTGTTACTTAGAGTTCATATGGATGTTGTTGATGACAAGTGAGTGACTTCAAATATCAGATTACTCAGAGAATAAGCTTTAACCTTTTTTTTGATTTGAAAAACCATTTTAGCCGTTTTGAAAACATCTCTTCGTTCTTCCTCTTACTCTCTTTCTTCTACTCCTTCTTCACATCTGCTTGTTTCTTATTCAAGCTCTGTCCTGCTTCCCTCCCAGAAGCTATGACCAAGTGTTTTTTCTTCTTTGAAATATGGGTTTATCTTGAGTTTTATACGAATATTCACCATTCTTATTCTGTAATTCATCTCAGGAATATTATAATTAGCATAGACAATCTCACGCATACGAATAATAATTTTTTTATTTGATTGATCTGTCGTAAAGACGGGAAATGTATTGTTATACTGAAAAGGAGATCATTATATTTCTTCTGGTCATTTATACAAACAAATGTCTTCCATTTACCCTTTTTTGATTCTTGTCTTCCCAAAACCAGGAAAGGAGGGAGTTGCCCCCCTTCTCTCTCTCTCTTTTCCTTGCTTTGCCCTCCCTCCTGCTTCAAGGACTTTTCCTGTCTTTCTGACGATGAGTCTTCTGACAGAATATCTTATTTGTGAAAAGACAAAGAAAAGAAATTTTTTTTTTCAGTTCAAAATCTGTTTTAGGACAACTCAGTGTGCATGTCGTCGTTTGTGTTTTATCTTTCTCCCTCCTTTTCCTCTTCATCCTAATTATCCATTAACTTTTGAAGTGTAATGTCTCTCCCAAAATCTCTTACAAAACACAAAATGCATTTGTTACTAGTGAATCAGAACTACAATACTAAATTGTGACATTTCGACATCTGATACTAGAAGCAGAGCAAAGATTTTTATAAATTTTAATTTTTTTTATTTTTTTCTCTACTCTATATACCTTCTATGGAAGTTTTCGATGAAAGTTCAAACATCCACACACACACATACACACATCCACATCTACACACACGGCCCTATATACACTTCTTTATTCTTTAATAAGATCAGTCAAGTCATCCTGCGACATCTGATTTTCGTTCGCCTCACTCTATGCTTCTTCTCCATTTTCGGAACATTTCCTTTTCCTTTTTTTTACTTTGATCCTTTTTGCAAGCTTTCAAGCTGAGCATCACCTCTCCATTAGTTAAATAGTAGCTTTTTCTGAGTTCTTTTTGTTAAATTCTCCTTATATGAGCATATTTTAACTTGTCTGTCATTGCGTGTCCACGACCATCAGATCCATCATTACAAGTTCCGATCATCATCTTCGTCTGCATTCGGAAACAGATGAATGGCAGTGTAAAATTGAGACAAGATCAAGTATTAAGCTTTGTATCTTTAAAGAAATTATAAAACGAACTAAATAAATGGTTTTGGAGGGAAAGAAAAATGGATAAAGAGAGAGAGGATAGAAAGATACGAAACGTTCATTCAACGTACTCTAGCAAACTTGTCATTTTCTTTCTTAAGACTCTCGCCTTCTATACCTGGTTTTATGTTCTCCTCCTCCTTTTTAACATTTTTTTTGCCATCAGAAGGTTAAAAGCACGTAGTAGGTCTAATGTCCGTCTTTGCAACGACGTCTCTTCGAGCAAAAAGTAACGAAGGCTGTCACCGCCTGCACCCATTCTATCCTTTTAACTTTTCAACTTCAAAGTAAAAAATCTTTAAATAACCAATTTCTCAAGGAATACTTAAAACAAATCATTTTACTTGACTGAAACTCTAATCTAATCCGTTTCTCATGTTTTTGATTTGGAGGGACAGAACACCATTTTACATCCCAAATCATATACGGAAGTCCGTATGATCAGAAACCTTTCGTTTTTCTTGAGTGTACAAAATCCATATTATTTTATTATGATCGAATGAGAATACTAATTGTTCTGTTTGTTTTACTTCCCGCCTACAGGTTGCTCATTACTATGTTCGATGATTTTGAAAAGCAACACGTGGAATTAGCATATCATTTGTCTGTGTAAAGATGACGTGATGAATGGTTGTGTCTATACCTAAAGCTCATTTACATTACCTTTTCATTCTCATCTCCAATTCGTCTTATTCATTCTCTCTCTCCCAATCTCTCATCCTCTTACTCTCTGACCGTAATTGATATTTAAATGTATTGCTATCTTCATTTCTTCACCCACTTAATTCTCTTTAGACCCTCAGGCTGAGTTTCATGAAAATGTTCATTTACAACCTTGAATGTCTTGCCGCTTTCTACTTCCGTCTTCACGAACTCCACAAGCATGAAACATTCTTAAAAATCATTTAAATGTACTTTATACATATAATACTAATGATTGTTTTAAAACCATTTTCAATTATTCGTATTAGATTTCTCCTTATCAAGTTTCTGTTGTGTGGATATCTTTCGTTGACAAATGGCATCACACACTCTCCTTCCTTTATTTTCTCCCGTCCTCCATATTTTACAACTTCTTTAATCCTTTCAATCCAATTTGGCGGATAAATTTTGCTTATAAAACGTATGAATAACTGCCAATTTTGGAAACTTATGCTTTTCATTCTTATTTTTCTTAACTAAAAATCTCTTTTACATCTTCCCTCACGTCTCTCCCTCCCTCTATCTTTAACTCTCTTCCTCAATATCTCATTTCTCTCTTTCTCTCTCTCTTGTTTCTTCGTCTTTTTTGCCTCCTCTATGCTATTCTCCCAGTTGTGCTTTCTACGTTTTGCTTCTTTTTCTTTTTATGTTCCACAAAATGTTTTGTGCTTGTAAGACATCCATTGCTTAAGCTTGACGTATTTCTATTGAAGAGAAACCTTAAGTTAATATGAGAAGAAGACACTTTGTGATTGCAATATTTTGGATCAAATTTCGTTCTTCCTTTCTTCCAAAGGTATAAACTAATAGTTTTGTCTTCTCCCTATTTATCCCATTTTCTAGTCAAATCTTTAATGGAATTCATTTCTGCTTGATTAAACTTTCTCAAGCTCTTCCTTTTCTTTGTGAAACCTCCTCCTCAATTCACTCTTACTTTATATCTCTCTTTATCTCTCTTTTTCTATGTCTTTTCTTAAAGTAACTTAGTACTCAGCTTTTTCAACAAATTCTATCTTTCATCCATCATCGAATCCATTGTCATCACCTTGTACGGACGAAAAAAAAAATTTCGTTTTGTGTGCTTCGGATAAAGGCTCTCAGCTGATCTGTCTGAACTTGTATCTATCTCTTAGAAATAATAATTTGAATAGATATATGTCTATACATACATATATCTATATATCATATAATATATTTATTTATATTCTTTGCTTATCTTCTCATTTAAATTTTATTTCGAAATATGCAAATGGTCTTCTAACGTGAAAAACTAGAAGACACGTGAAGTCATGAAGACGGAAAAAACATGTCATTTCTCGACGTATATTCATCAATAAGCTGTTGCATAATCAGAGAATTTTAAATTTTTTTTTCTTTTTTTTTTCAGAACTTTAAAATGTTGACGTTATTGGATGGCCAATTATAGTATTTCATATACGAAGTTCAATTGAAAGCAACAAGTTATTTGGTACCGTTCAAGCTGAAGAATATAGAAAACGAGAAAACAGACTGAGAAGAAGAAAACATGACTATCTCGTATACACTTGATGTTTCACAGACTAATCTTCAAAGTTTTGTTAAATTACTATTCCGTTGGAGAGGAAGTGTTTGGAAGGTATGTGTTATTTAGTTTACAGTGTTATCTTTTCAATCATCTTAGGCTGTCTGTCTCCAATTATTCTTTTGGACCGTCGTATTTCTGTTAATTTCATGTATTTATCGATATTTTTTGAAAGAAGATCATCAGATGTGAGCAATTCACTGTATGTTTCATGAATCATGTATCTATGCTTTAGAGTTTTCTCCAATCTTATCATTTATCTTGATTCAAAATTGGATTCGAATATTCCACTGACGTTTATGCTCGGATTCTTTGTAACTTTCGTTGTCGGACGATGGGGAAGCATACTGAATGGAATTGGATGGATTGACGAGTAGGACAAATTTTCAAAAATGAAAATGTTTGTAATTTCTTCAGTGCTTCCATCCTGTTCGGTTGCTATATTCGTGGACGTGACGAGGAGACAAGAATTCAACGTCGAAATCTTGTCAGATATATGGTTCTTACTCAGGCACTCGTGTTACGCGATATATCCATGCAGGTTCATCAAAATAAGAGTATAAAGGAGAAAAACAAAAATAAAATAATTTTTAAAGGTTCGTAAAAGATTTCCTACAATGGATACAGTAGCTGCTGCTGGTCTGATGACAGAAGAAGAAATGGATATCTTGGATGAAATCAAAGACCCATATAGCAGGTTTGTTGTACAAATGTTACCACATTGAGAAAGCAGTACAACTTCATTCATTTAAAGATATTGGGCACCAATTCAATGGAGTATCACACTTGTTTATGAATGTAAACAAGCTGGCAAAATTGAAAGTTTTTATTTGATGGATAAGATTGTTGATGTGAGTCTATATCTCTCTCTATCTCTTCATGTCTCTCAGTCGTTCTATTTTTATATACTCTTTTGTTATAAAAAATATTATGAGAAAAACAAAGAAAAGTTTTTTCTATTCAGGAAATCGGCAAATTCCGACATGGATTAGCTTCATTGTTAAAGTATGATTGGGTTCCCGTTCCATTAGTTTATCCACAGGTGATTCTTATACAATTCGAACTGGAAATGGAAATCCTTCGAAGAAGCTATGCATCCTCACATTTACATAACCATTTTAGGTCATATTCTTAGCTGTTCGCTTTTATTTTCTTATTTGTTTAATTGGAAGACAGTTTGTCATAATAGGAGATAAGAAAAGCGGGGTAGTAGTTGATGTGTCGTACTCAGTAGTTTCAATATTTTACTGAAATTACAGATCGATCTATGGCTTCCAGTAACCACTATGGTTCAATTTATAGTTTATATGGGATGGATGAAGGTGATATCAACAACATTTGCATATATTCATCAATCATATATCCTTAAAGGTTGCTGAAGCATTGCTTAATCCATTGGGAGAAGATGATGATGATCTGGAGTGTAACTATGTGATAGACAAGAATTTAGTTGTAAGTTTGTCTACCATAATACTTAGACAGCTAGCAAACTATTGAAAGCCAGGGGTCTCTAATTATTATTTTTTATTATTATAAGTTCATTAACTGAATTGGGGGTAACTTAAGTTTTTATTTTTTCTCGTATTATTTTTTCTACAAATTTTGGAATGAAATATATTTTAGACAGGCTTCCATATAGTCGACACTTTGTGGACCGGGCTGAATGAGGTTATCACCTATCACTCTCACTCTCTATCTCCCCTCTATCTACTTTCTCTATATCTTTCGATATCTTCTGCTCGCTCGCTCGCTCGCTCGCTCATTTCTATCGCTTAATTTGGTGTTTTTCTAACTTTTTCATTTTAATTTTTAATAACAAAAAGTGAAAAGAAGCGAAATAACAAGTGTCCATATCTTGTCTTTTGTCTTTTGACAGCTTCAAACCCTTTATTCTGCTTTTTAACATATATCACATATGGCTTGCTTAGTGCTAGGCTTAGTTTAACTGGATAACTATGCGCCTTCTAACTATGCCATATCGAAACATCCTGGTTTCTTGAACCATTTGTTCGAAAATAAACTGCCAAACTTCGAATTCCTTTTGAATTCGAAAAAAATATTTTTTGTTCGAACTGAAGAATCAAAATCATTTTCATTTTCATAACTTTACAGACTGGATACTCAATGGTGGAAGAGCACATGGTTCGAATGCCAACTCAACATAAAGACGAGTTTTTTGGTATCGATAAGATTGCTCCTCTATACTCGATTGAAAGTGCCGAAAGATCAGTTCATCCTCTAGTTGGTAGTGCCAGTAAGATAAAGTAAGTTTGTTACTCATTCCGTTAGGTACCAACCGCTCTTTATGCAAAATCAAAAAATTGAAAACAAGAATTTTCATTCCAAATACAGACAGATTCCTTGAAGCGGTCGTGCTGCTCATGTCTCGATCATCGTTTAACCTTCTGATGCATTTCAGTCTGGTAAAAGATCGCAGAGAGATAGTTATGACTCCCCACAAAAACAAGCTGAGTGAACTGAGCGTGGAAGAGCAGGTAATAAATGTAATGCAAATCAATTAAAATATTAAAATGTAAATATTTAAGAAATCAATGCTACGACGTGTATGTGTAAGAGATCATAATGCTAAGCATGAACGTCAACGCACATTAGAGAGAGCGAATAGTCCGGATAAGTGCCTGAATAGAATACGGAGCAGATCAAAGTAAGTAGAGTATAGTTAGCTAAGCATTTTGATTTTAACCAATACACTAAGTGGATATATTTCTTAAACGGTTTGTTCATTTATAGATCAGATCTTCAATTTATTCAATTTTATGAGAAGTAAGTTGTGAAAAATTGTGATTTGCTTCATCATTGCATGGCTATTAAGATTATAAAAAGTAGATTGTGATTAATCAAAAGAGAAATCTTAGTGAAAACATCTTATAATCATATAGTTAGCATACATTAGTACTTGTTAATACGTTAACAACAACAGTATATATATTGTGTCTGTGGCTTGAATGTTGTGAAAGACAAGAAGATATTCGTATTCATTTCGATTCCTTCTGAATATACGTTGTTTCAATTAATTTTTTCTTAATTTTCAGTGGAAGATTCCGAACTATACCTACTAATGGAATTCCAACACGCAATGGAAGATCGGCTGAAGAGCCATGGCATCGATCAGGTTTGAACTATCAACTTAAGAATGTTTTAGAAGAAAACAAATTTTAATTAATCATGATATTAAAAATATAAAAATTATTCAAAAATCCCCTAAATAAGAGATGAATATGTTCAGGTTCCCTCATATAAAATAATTGATGAAAGGTAAGTGAACATGTCTTGAATTCCAACCTTTGAATGTCCTCGTGCATGTTTCATGAACGAAATAAATGAAATGCTTGACAGTTTGCAACTAGAACAACAGCAAATGAAAAAAAAAAATTGTGCAGTGATGATCTATCTCTGTTGCTCATTTAAGTTTCAAAATATTATGTTTTTTATGTTGATTGATGTGGAAGAGAACAATATAGTTCTTTGAAATGATACAGCATGATGAATGATAATGTTAGTTGAGAGTACATAATGGGATATTCATCTCCTAATCAGCATCATTCATTCATTTTCAAATGAAATACGGCACGATTTACCTGAACCCTTCCCACAACTCCCTTATAATCACTGTCTGTTACTATCTATGTTCTTTTCCTGTTTCAATGAGTTCTGTCTAGTTTTATATTTTCCCTATATAGTCTTTTGTTTATACAGATTAACTCACTAACTATATAATAATGAAAAAACATCATATATAAATTAAATATGTTATAGAAACAATCGCTACTGTATCAACGCCTTCTTTTCCCGTTGTAGTTCCAATACCTTCTCATCATCAGAATCAAGTTCATCCAACTACTGAAACAAGTATGTCTAGAATTTCTTTCAATATTACAAAACTCATTTCATTTCAGCTGGCACTTCTAATGGCCAACATGTACATCGTTTTTAATGAATATATTGTACAACATTCCTTAATATTATAAGTCATTTTCCCACACATCTAGTCTGATCCCAGTGAAACTCTTTCAATTCTATTAAATATAAAAACGAGAAATATTGTTTTTTGAAGAAAAAAAATATAAGAAAAAAGAATTTATTTGTTTATTCCATTCATGCTCAATCTCTGTACAGGTCCATCATCTCTCACAGTATAAAAACTAATTTTTTAAATTTTTCTCCAATCACATCTGTGATTCCAACAATTGTATATTTGAACTTTCCTGATTGCTATTACATTGAAGAATATTTGGATGAACTAATTTCACGTTAATAAACATATAATGATTCAAGCATGTTTCTCTTGCACATTATACAGAACTTCTAATTGAACCACAAATTATTAAGATATATTCTAATTTTGTGAAGCGTCTATTAATTTGCATATTAGTTGTTTGTTTCCGTCGGAAGTCTTTTGATCTGATCGAGTAATTGGCACGCCCACTTCATTAGCATACTCGTGAAATTGACGTAAGTTTGAGGTTTCTCCTGAATCATTAAGGCCTGTTGCAGACGCACAGAACGGTTGCATTCCGCTGTGCGCTCCATTCACTGGAGTGGAACTGCATCGGCCTGATAAAGCTGTAATGATATATTCCTCAAAGAGGAGATGAGCTAATCACCGTTAGAACAGTGTAGTCCCGACGTAGCTCGCACTGCTATCACATACGTTACTTTCAGACTTGAACCAATTGAATAATTTTTATACTGGTATAACAGTATAATTTTCCATTGTAGAAATTAAAATTTCTGTATTTATAGTTCCAAAAGTTATGTTGTTTACACAAAACCTTCATTTTGCTTAAAATCTTCATAATAATACAATACTAAAGGATTAAAATATAATATGTTCTTATCACAATGTTTCTCGACAGCTAAACTGACTGACTATTTTGAAATAGAAAAAAAGAAGAAGAAGAATAAGAATAATATAAAAAAAATTATTAAATTATATTTTTTGTCTATAATTCACTAACATAATTTTACCATAGCTCTTATCCATTGTGTAATAGATATCTTTAAGCATTATTTTTTTTTGTATAAGTTAAATTGTGAGACTGAATGGTCTGCAATAATAACAGGGATGTTATACATTCTTAGTTTTGCGGCCTGGACAAATTATCCAAATATTCTCCCAATGTATCTCTCGTAATACACATATCTTCAAAGCCTGGCTTCTCTACTAGCTTTTGGGCTCCCAAGTATGCTGAACTGTATCTCCATGGAGAGATGTGAACCTTTAAATGTTATAGAATGCTACAGCAGAGCATGAAATGGTATATTACCTGAGTGTGAATGGTATTAGCTGCTATAGATGATAGTTCCTGTTCCAATCTAGCGGCTAAGCCTGGAAGTAATGTAGCTCCTCCAGCTAGGAAAATGTTCCTGAAGTAGAGTATTATTAAAATCGAGTTATGCTGAAGGATTACTTCATGAGATTTCGTCTGCTGTCAATGGGACTGAGAGCTACAGCGTCATGAACTAGATGGTGCAATGATTTCGACTCCAAACCCCACTTTTTAGGGTTGAAAAAGCCTTCTGTACAGGTAAAGCGAGATCCGTCAATCTTGAAATAGAAAATAGAACTATTTTTACTAGCTGAACATACGTTGAATGTGTTAGGTGCGCTAGGGGGCATGTTGTATGGTTCCAGAGAAACGTTTACTTCCGAATGGTTTGCTTGCTCTTCTTCAGCGAAGTTTTCAGCTACATAACTAGTCTAGAAGCGAAAGATATCAATGAAGAGAATGAATGATTATTTCTTTACTTGCTCCATGACATATCTGAGAATGAGTTTTTCGACTGGTGATTGGAACGAATATAATCCTCTGTTGTTCGAGCACAGGTTGGCTCTGAGAGCTTCACGCACTTGAGTAGCTCCATAAGGAATAGATACAATAGCCGAATCAACAACGTATCCTGAAACATTGAATATGAATTATACTTCCATATTACAAATAAAAATACCATCGAATATTGGAACGATATTAAGTCTATCTCCGATATCAACGACAACTCCTGTTTCAACACCGTAAGCATAGAGAATCAAAGAAGACTGCCGAGTTATGGCTGCCCCCTACAAAAAGAACTAAAATTGAAGAACAAGTATTCTGAAAGATTTACCTTGAAACCAATGTCATGGAGAGCGATTGTAGCTAATTCACCAATCAGAGTGTTTGGAATATTTTGTGGAATGGAAAGAAGGACTTCGTGTCTACTTGGATCAACTGCCAAATCAGAAACTACTTTCCTCAAGCAAGCTATGACTACATCCTTATTTAACGTATATCTTTCTAATGAAGGGTTGTGGGCTTGGATAGGGAAGATGAATTCTCCATGATGACGAACCTATTTTCTATACTTTAAACTTTCGTGAGCTGTCTTATTTACCTCTGGGGCATAAGCGTCAGCTCCAACAACTAGTCTGCCATCATCCATCTTAACAGCTATAGCAGGGAAGAAAGATTGAGGAAGAGAAGGCTCTTGGTTCAAAATTCCACCACGGATAGAGCAGGATCCAAGCTCAATGATGACTATGTGCTAAACAAAAGTTTCATATAATAGCTTAAGCAAATTCCTTACCTTATTTATATGAGGGAGAGAGCGTGGAATTGGTGTAACATAAGCATCTGTCTGAGAAGCAGCTGAGTGAGAAGTAAGAGATTGACGCCATTTATCGAAGACATTTGAAGGAACTCTATACAACAGGATGTGAAAAATATCATTGAATTGTATGATTATACCTGATGATGATGTTAAGTTTCTTTGGTCCTCCCTTAATACGAAGAGTTCGTTCCTCACGATTCACATCAATATCACATCCTGAGAGAACGTATTCGTTTTCTGGAGCCTCTTCAGCACAATGAGACTAAAAAGGTCAGAGCTTATGCAGTCAATAAATTATGTAAAACTTACAACAAAAACTTGTAAACGTCCTTCTTTGGTTCTCATGTATTGCTGTTTCCATTCTCTTTCAAGCTCAGCAACGGTTTTTGTTTCTTCTGAAGGAACTTCGACATGTCCCTCCATACTAGGGAAACGCGTTTTTTTCGTTTCCAGTCGAGGCTCATAAGATATCTGAATGAATGAAATGAACATATTTTTTTCAGTTCAGTACTCACAGAATATAGTTCATGGACTAAAGGTCTTGGATCCCACTCATGTAGCACTTGGCTTTCTTCTAGTGAGAACTTCTCCACATTGTTTGGAATATGACCATTTGATGAGTGATAATCCAAATCGGTCATCTACACAGAATAATCAAATAGAATGTTGTTAGCGTATATTTGAAAAAATTACCGTTGATCTATGATTATCAGGCTTCTCGGTATAGGTATCAACCGCCCAAGATCGTTGAATTGGTTCTTCTTGATCAGCAATAGTATCGTATATAGGTTCCTCCTTCAAACAACATAATAAATAATATGAAAAAAGTCATTTTCTGAAGCACCTCTGCAGCAACGTTGTCGTAAATTGGCTCAGGTCTGATCGGAGGAACAGAGCCACTTGAGTAATAGCTTTTGACTTCAGATGAACTGAAATAAAATTGATGAAATTAGCATAAACAAGACAAAGTTGACGTAAGATAGTAAGATTTGAGTTTGAACATGAAAAGGCATGCATAGGGTAAACTATGAATGGCGAACGAAAGGAAAACCTTTTTAAGTGTTTGAGCAGTGAAAGAACGGTTGAATTGATTTTTGAAAGAAAAAAAGAACTGAAGTAAAGATATCCTCATAAGTTGGTTATTTTCCATTTTAAGAGGATTATATGAAGAACACTTCTGTTAAGCATTTCAAACAAGTTTTCAAGCAAAAAAATAATTGAAAAGATGAAGAAAGAAAGAGAGAGCAACAAAAGTAATAAAAATACAGATGTGAGATGAGAATAGCAAAGAAATCGTTCGTTGGCAATGTCAAAGTGAGAGTCAAATTTTGGAAAAAAAAAACTTTCATGTTTATGGCCAGTAAACAATTTGTGCCTTGGCTGAAGCGAGAACGATTCGTTTTAGTCATGATATGAAAATTGTTGGAAAATTGAATGAGAACATCCATGAAGATGTTGACAGAAGAAGAAGAAAGAAAAAAATATTTTTAAACTTTCTCTCTCTCTCTCTCTCTTTATCAAAAAAATGAACAAAAAAAGGATGTTTAGAAGTTGAAAATGAAGCAGAAACA